CATTGCTACTCTTACTTGACAATTCAAATGTCTTTCTTCTTGTTTTAGCTGGACTAGTAGCTCCTAATATTGCTGGATCCTCAGTTGAAAATTCCTCTTCACTTTTGCGCTTTTGTGCCCGCTGAAGCTTTAGCGTATTGCATTTATTATAGCACGATTTGTGCCATGATGCTCTGTGATTTCTTAAAGTATTTTCAATGCCTGTTAAAGTATTATTATAAGGCTAAATAAGTACAATTTATGGCTCATAGTTGATCTGTGAGTTTATTTCACTTTTAATTGATTAGGAATTCCTTACCTCTGCCATCATCAAGAGAAGAAAGTGGAATGTTAATAGGTAGCGAATCAAGTTTCTCGAATTCTTTCAAGTTTTCTGCAATTGTCTTGTAACTTGAGCCAGCAAGTAAAGTATTTGAAGCTTTTTCCGGACATAAAATCTTTTCTTTTGTGTCTTTTTGACATAAGGCACAAAGGTTCCAGTTTAAAGACATTTTAAAAGCGAAAAAAATCAAAAAAATTATCGAGAAATAGCACTATATCGTCTGGAAATGCCAAATTAACTAGGCGACCAGGCTTTTGCCACAGGAGCCCAAAATTTATGCAGTTTTCGAAATAACCTTTAAAAAGGGTAACTTTCGACAATTAATTAATTTTTACCGGAATTTTCATGGTGTTTTGTTGTTTTTATATAAAATACAACATTTTTATTTAACATTTTTATATTTAAAACGGTTTTATAAAAGCCTCATTAAGCCCGCGATTTAAGCCGCTGACCAAGCTTTTAATCGGCTCAAAAGTACCCTAAACAAGCTGATCCTGCTGGGGTCTCACTTTTATTTTGATCTATAAATCAAATTAGCAATTTGTGGTAAGTTTCATGCTTTCTTCACATGTTTGAACAATCTGACCAATTTTCGGAGCTTATCCTCCGGACTATAATAACAGTTTTTGGTAACGCCAACACGAAATATGGTATGAGGAAATACGAGTCACGAACTCTTTTTAATGTAAAATAATGATTTTTAGACATCTTCAAATATTAACTCAAGGGGTACTTAAACGTATTTGTGAGCATCTTTAAAAAATCTTTCATGCACATTTTTAACATCTGAAACTTAACACAAAAGCAACTCTGTACATGAAAAATGATTAAATGAAGTTTTAACCTAATAGCCTAATTAGAAGCTAGGAAACTAAGCCATCCATCAGATAGAGTCATATAAAGCACTATAAAGACAAGCTACAATCAAAGCTTGCTACTATTGTTTTGCCAATATGTCTTAGATTGATTTTTATTTATAGAACTCTATTCGTATAACTTTTTTCCTGCTAAAAATTTATGTTAACGATTTTTCAAAAGTTCTCAAAGATGCGTCTAAGTATCCCTTTACTGTTTCCATCAATACATTTAAACTATAAAAACTGCATGATGTCATTTTCCAATATGATTGCATAGTTAATATGCATAATCTAACCCCTTTACGTAATATGCTACGTAATATTTCGTAAAACTATGTAAATATTCTCCCCCGCCACCAAGCTTGTCTTTGTTTAAATGTTCGAAAGGCAATATTTAATTTTCTTTGCCATTGCCAGGTTATAAATTCTTACGATCAAATATCTTTCTCTAATTTTCGCAACGATTGCCGCAACTCCATCATGACCCGCTCCGTGATAACAATGAGTGATCAACAGTAATATGCAATTGTTACGCGGCAACGATACAATAAGGCAAAATTGTCACTACCTAAAATGGTGGTAAAGGTTTTTTCACTGCTGTCGTTTTGTTGCGACTAATATCGTTGGTTTTTGTGGCAGTGGCGTAGCTAGGAAAAATAGTCACTCCAGCCAATCCATCTCGCACCGGAGGCGCGACCCCACTAGGGGGGTCCGGGGGCATGCTCCCCCGGAAAATTTTGAAATCTAGAGCCTTGGAAACAGCATTTCCTGCGATTTCGAGGGCGAATTATTTGTTGTACAATAATTTATAAAGGTACTAAAGGTGGCTCAGAGAAACGTTACGCAGGAGACAATTGTCCTCTAAAACATAATTTATTCATCACTGCCCCTGCATAAACAGAAGAAATTTGTATTAGCACAAAAAATAATATAGTATACGACACTTCTAAAGCGCATAGAGAGAGATTTTTCTTAGCATTCTACTTGTTAGTTTAAACTTGTTTAGATTGGGGCAAGTAGACAGGGATGGCTTTATTCTTTAAAGTTATGCTTAATTTTCTCAATGAAGTACCATGTATTATACGAACAAATATCAAAACACATACTATACTCATCATTTATAAAGAAAGGCCAGCCTCCTGGGTTTTTCTACAAATTTTTCAACCACCTCGTTATGCAACACCTCTGATTCCTCTTTCTTTTCAATGATATCTTTGTGAATAGATATTCTACACAAAGAGCTAAGCCGACCTTGACCCATTCTATTTCTTAAATAGCTTTTACCCTTTTAAGCAAGAAAACGACCTCTCTACTGAAGCACTTGCCACTGCCAACACACCATTCAATTTTAACAAATTTACCACTTGACCTAAACTCGACTGGAGATTAAATTTGAAGATGTATTTAAGAACCTCATTACTGCACTCTTTGTGAAAGTCCTTGTCGTTGTAAATGAAGGAAAGTTGACTCTCCAAAGTTTGGATGTCAAAAGAGGACTATACTTATCTTTGAGAAGATTGATCTTCTCCTGTGGAACTATGCCCTTCCATGTAGTAAATAGTTTAGGATTTACAAGGTCTAAAAACTCGAACTGATTAATATCTTGAAATCGTTCACTTAACATGCCTTTAATGGAATCAATAATCTCAAAATAAAGCTGTTTGTAATTGTATCTACTATCTGCTCTGGTTGCTGGTGGGCCTACTTTTTCTAGTGCAGTTTGGTAAAACTCGGTGAAAGCTTGATCTGTGCGAAGTGACACAATAAACTGCTTGAAATTGTCAATCTTGCTTATGCCATAGTTAAAATGGGTTTCCCTATTTTGAAGAATGGAATACAAAATTGTGGACTGTTCTAAAATCCTGTAAAAAACACACACTAGAAAACAAAAGAGAAAGCTATCAAGATAATGCAGTAAGCCACTTATTTTACTTAATGACTCATCATCCCACCCAGCTGGTTGTTCAAGTACCCCTCAAAAATATCTAAAAGTTTTTCATAGTTTTTGTGCAATACATTGATTAATCTAGAGCGATAATACCATCTTGTTTCACCAGGGCAGGAAACTCAAGGTTGTTAGATGTGAGAAAAGCTTTTCTTTTGGGGCATTGCTTGTAAATGTGCTGAATGTAGCTATATTAATAAAAAGATTTTAACAGGAGAAATTGATGAGGCTGACTGGCATAGGACCAGGTTCAATCTATGAGCTGCACAATGAACAAAATGAGCAAAAGGATACTCTTGTCGAACCAATGCTTGAACACCATTGATATGGCCAGACATGACAGAAGCACCATCATATGTTTGTAAAACCAGTTTTCTTTTATATTAGAATACTCACCAAGTTTATCTTTGACAACTTGTGATATTGCTGTGGCATTTCTGTTCATACTTACATCCACAAATCCTAATTGCCTCTCCATAATTTCACTTGCTTTGTCAAACCGAGCAATAACACTTAGCTGCTCTTTGGTGGAGACATCAGATGCTTCATCAACCTGAATACTCATAAATGTGCAATCATTTATTTCCTTTCTGATTTCATCTTCAATAATTGAATCAAGACAGCTGATAAGACCATTTTGAATTTCTGGGGAGACTCCAGTAAATCTTCTGTCACCAACTATATCAGATTCTGCTAGTCTACTGTGCAGTCGACGCTCAAATACAGAATCAAACTTAGCAAAACATTCGAGCAACTCTCTATAATTACCTTTGTTCAAGCTACCTTCGGACTCATTGTGACCTCTAAATGGCAACTCTTGCTTTGACAAATACAGCACGGCCTCAGTAACAGTTTTAAAATTTCTCGATTTTGTCTTACCTCCTCATTGTGACGCTGAATCTCATTTCTTCTAGCGAGGGACATAAGACAATCAATTCGTTCACTAGCTCCATACGTTTTCCATGTCTTAAATGCAGTCAAATGCGATTTAGATTTTCATGCTTCTTAGCATCAGACATAATACTCCGCATATCGTTGTAGCCATTCTTAGTCCACGATGGCGATGTTTTGGGAAAACATTAGACATGGCCAACAAAACACTTTCTGCAAGGTTGTACTGCCACACAGCCAGTCCTTCGCCTCATACCAATCTCTCTGAAATGCTCTTCCCTTATTTTGGATAGTTAAATCAGGAGTAGGCCGTTCATGAACGATAACATTCTGTTCGACCGACGATCGAGCAGAGAACGGTTTAGCTAATAAGCTATTTACTAAATCAACATCAGTTGAGCAAATCGCAGTCGCACTTGAAGCCATTGTGTCATACACAAATACAAAATAGCAATTTGAGAGTAAACACAATGGAAAATTAATACCGACAATGACACGTAATTTGATAATCACTAATCGCTGTACTCGTATTAAAAGGTCGAATAATTACAACCTCCGCCAATTTAAAATAGCGGGAGTTCGACTATAAAACAGCAGATTTGAGCATGCGTCAAGTCCCTTAGCCAACCAGAATTCAAAACTTCTTATATAGAATTATATTTTATGTTCCGCCCTCTGAAGATGGGCGGAATACGTGGAGAATCGCGCGAGTATGCAATGTGCGAGAAAAGGCGGTTGCTAGGTTACATAACAAATCTTGAGATTTTGCTGTATTACGATTACGAACCACCTAATAAAAGCGTAAATATGAACGAATAAAACATAATATTACAAATTGTTCGTGAAATAATGTATATCTTATGTCCAAATAGAATATTTATTATTTTTTTGGGAAATTTCTACTCCTGCTGGGCGGGAGTAGCGGGACCGCTAGCTACGCCACTGTTTTGTGGTAGTTTTACTTGTCGTCAGAACTGAGAAGCTTCTCTGTGATTCAGTATTCCTCTTTGTTATTGACGTCATCCCACTCACTGCAAGCAAACATTTAAACAAAATAAAAATGAAACAAAAAAGTCAGGACTTTTGTAGAAAGTTATTTTAAGTTAATGGCACAGCAGACAACCTCGACTAGCAGCAATTTTCTATATTTTGTTTAATTAAAACCAGAAAATATGTTTCAAGTATTCATACACATGGCAGAACTCGAGAAAATTTTAATAGATTAAAAATTCTGTCCTCGTTTTGATGACCACCCCATGCTTTCGCCTTTATACATTATAGACAAATTAGAAAAAGATTTTATTTATTACGAAAAAATCAAACCTTTTGCGTGTTCTGCATAATAGTTAGCATGAAAAGCAAACAAACTTTTAGGGTGCGACCCATAACTACCGGATTTGAGCATTATGAAAAAATGATTACTTGAGGATCGTATTTTCACTCCTGTAGTCGCATTTTCTCCACAATAACAATCAAGTACAGGCGAAGTATCATTCGGACCATTGTAAACAGTGAGAATTGAATACTTGCATTGAGGTATAGTCAGTATTGAGAATGTTAGGGTTATAGTAAATGTTTCTGCCACGGTTATCTGCCATGAGCAACACCGACGGCATAAGTCTCTTTCATGATTGGTTGTATTGTTCGAAGATATTGAGCCAGTAGGTCCATTGAATGAACAACGACAGTCTAAAATATATAAATACACATAGGTACCAATGAGAAAGCATACACAAATATTTTATACGCAGTAAATATTATTCGTCATGCGAAACCTAAAAAAACGGCGAATATCAAATGGAAATTGTAGCTAGATTCATACACGGAATCTCAAATGTAATCTCGTCGTTTAAAAATTTCATATAATAGTTTCGGCTATTTTTACACTCTTTTATGCTCAGCCCATTACCTTTATAGTAACAAAAATACAGTTTTCTGAGACTTAGCCCAGCTGAAGTATTCACGAACACGTGTTTCTCATGAAAATCATCAATATTGTCATCATCTTTGGTGTTAAATGATATATACTCCATCTCACTTGTTGCCCACTTCACCATTTGACATCTGGGTGATGTCAATGAATTAGATGTCAACAAATAGAAAGGTTGGGTAACAGGCAACTCTATGGGTTCATACCATTTGCCATCAGTTTGACAACAGTAATGAATGACAGTGTCGTCATTATACGTGCCGTGAGGTAATTGTCCTCCTTTTTTATTCGAATTTTCATCATCTTCATCGTCCCATTGAACAAACCCAGAACTCATACCTTTCGGACAATTCGTTTTGGACATATAAATACAATATGAACCATTAAAAGAAATGATTGAAAATGTTAGATCTACAGACAAGTTATTTGAGTCTAAGTACTATTATTTTATTTTTCGAGATTTGAATTGTAAGTTAAATGTGCAAAATAGCTGCGTATTATAGAAGGAGCTGGGATTCTTACAAAGTCACAAATATTCGGAAATGCTGCACAAATGTTTTTAGCAATACTGACCGTTGGGCCAAAGTTTTGTTTTTTGGTTTATTTGGTTCAACATACAAAATGTTCAATTGATCTTAACATCTGAAAAGGAAATAGCCATGTGGTTTTTAATTGACACACTTGAATTTTCACGATCACTTTCCATATGCTGAAGTCTCCATCCTTCACGCCATCCGCTTTTCCAGTCACCAGGACATCCAGTTTTAGCTTTAAGGAGACCAAAGTCACCACCTGGCCATGGGTTATCTGCAAAACAAAAAATGCTTAGTGCCTTAATTGTCCGTTCTCATTTCGGTTTGATAAAGAGAAATTTCTTATGGATTTTTTACTCAACAATATCGGGGTAATTTTTTTAAAACAAAAGACTAAGTTTTTTTTGCAAAGCGAAGCGAAGTCAAAAGATCACAGCTGACGCCTCAGAACAAATGAGAATGCTAGCGTTATAAACATAAAGTCATTCTTGTTTCAGTCTGATTGTTTATGATGATATTCAACTCTTGTTATCTTTCGAACATTTGCATGAATAACTGATTTATACAACAATAATGAAGATGGATTTCGCTTAACTCAATGTAAACTTCAAGTCATTTGTTTCCAACGAAGGGCCTCATTAGGGCCAATAAACATAAGGGCCTCAAGTCAATGTTAAGGAAATGAATAGTTGAAAAAGGTTCTTCGTAAGAACCATTATTTCTTAGTTCACACCCTTTTCCACATTGTATGAAATAGAACTTAAAAAAAAGCTCTTGAGCTAATTAAGCTCTTAAATAGTTATACAGTTGATGATAATATTATTTCTTTAAAATTTTTCAATCTTATATACCATTGGACATCGTGTGTGAAACAATTTTTTTATCCGCGATAAAATAAAATCACCATTACATCTCAACAAACCAGTGCATCTATCATAATTTTAAACAAAACAACTTTGATTTTGCAAGAGTAAACAGCGGCTACTTCAAATGATTGCTAAATAAAATTAGGCTATAAGTGTTACAATTAGGTATTTGTTTGATTTCACGCGTTCTCTATATGCTTAATTTTCAATCGTAAGGTCAAGGAGTTCGAGAATATAGTTTCCACGCAGAAAATGTTCCAACTTCCTAAACACGATTTAACGCATGCAATAACGCATTCTTTATATATTCCTTTTTGGTCTTTCGAGAAAATGAAAAGATTGCAAACTCTTCTATAAAACGTAGTTTGTAAACTAAATAAAAACGTTTGCTTTTGTTTGAAAAATAAAAAAAAACTATTTTCTACTACAATTGATGACTTGGCTCATTTTTGAAAAAAATACCGTTGACATAGCTTTGGTAAACAACAGCTATAGAAACTATCACGAGTTACGTTTTTCGCATATATCAAATTATCTATATCGGAAACTACGAAATATATTGCAATTTAAGTCTCGTAGCTAGCTATTAGTCTCTTAAGCCAGGACACAATGAAATTAAAAAGGTCAAATGCACTAGAGGTACAGAGACGTCAGGTCTTGGTACAAATAAAACAAACCTTGTGAATTCGTAGCATAATAGTTTGCATGAAAACCTAACAAACGTTTTAGTTGCGAGCCATAGCCATTATAGCTAACAAATAAATGATTTCTTGAAGAACGTATTTCCATTCCTGCGGTCGCGTTTTCTTTACAATATTTGCCGATTGCAGGAGAGGTGTCATCTTGGCCATCGTAGATTGTGAGAAATGTATTGTTGCACTGTGGCAACGTGACCCCCAAGAATTTTAGTTTGATAATAAATGGTTCTTCTACAGTTATCAGCCACGAGCAGCATTGAAAGCTTGAGCTTTTTTCATCTTCGATTGACTTGTGCATGCGCAAATATATTGAACCAGTAAGTCCAGTTAATGAACAATTACAGTCTGAAATGTGGAAATAGTTTTGAGTTTGGAATACTACATAAAATATAGAATGTGTTTTAAATGGAAAAATCCTTTTCAACTATATCCTTTAAAATATTAAAAAATAATTTTCGAAATTTACATTTCGTAAACGATTCAAATAAAATATACTCCATTCGATATGTTGCTACCTATACGTTGTGGATGAAAACGAAATGGATGTCAACAAACAAAAACTTTAGAGAATTTGCTACTCGCCCTCTTCACATCATTCTTTAAAACTTGAGCATGAATGTCAAGAAATGCATCTTAGCTGATTGTCTATTTAGCTATCATGCTCTGGAAACTGAAACTTGTTTGCAAATTAAAGAACATATAAACTCTATAGAAATTTCATATGTTTCAATTCACGGCTTTACAGATGATAATAAAAAGAGAATGTCACCATATGAAAATTTATAAAAGAGATCTCAAGAAAAGAAAGAGATTTCAAGCACTTGGATTAAAAAAATAAAAAGTAAAAAAAATTGAGCACTTTCTATGGAAATGACCCGGAACAATTTTGAAGTTTCTTTTGATAGAAATCTTGCGAAGTGACAGTTAATAGTTGTCACAAATTATAGTCTAAGATTTTAGAATTATCTTTTCAGTTTTAACCAAAAGGCATTACGTCTGAGTCTGAAACAATAAAACTATTATGACATATGTTCTTCGTAAAAATAAGTATCCTCAGTGAAAACATAAATCCACCAAGAAAAAGAAGACATTTTAAATCTCTCATAAGCGTGTCAGTGACGAAATCAAATCAACAAGAAGTACAGATACCTTGTGTTTTGAACAAACAAACCTTCTAAATGTGTGGCATAATAGTGTGCAAGAAAAGAAAACAAACTTTTCGAATGAGGTCCAAAACTACCAGAGTTGCTCACGAGAAATAATTGATTCTTTGACGAACGTATTATCAGTCCTGCACTTGCGTTTTCTCCACAATATTTACCAAGTACAGGGGATGTATCATTCGGACCATTGTAAATGGTGAGGATTGACTGGTTGCACAGTGGTATAGTTAGTTTCGAGAATGTTAGCGAGATGATAAATGTTTTTTTTACTGTAATTAGCCATGCGCAACATCGATACCGTAAAACACTTTCGCATTCAATTGTATCGGGCATCTTAATTGACCCACTAGATTCATTCCGTAGACAACGACAGTCTAAAGTGTAGAAGTATAATCCACTCAATAAAGCATAAATGAAATAGTGAATGTCACGTGGAACGTTCTCTCATAATAATATTCTCTTTAATTACACAATTTCCTTAAGTTTGATTTGTTTCGGAGTAAATTTTTTAAAAAAAATTTTTTAATTTTTTAATTTTTTCCTTGTAAGTGAGTCAAAAAAAATTGAGACATCATAGAAGGCGATCAAATAAAGTCTAAATTTATTTTAACATGATGCAACAACAATGGCTAACTAGTTCTTTATGCCAAAGGATTCTAAAATCCAATCTTTGAAAAACATTTGAAAACACTACTAAAAGTGCCTTGTTTTTGGCCAAGGGTGCCGTAACAATGATATTCTAAAAAATTAATCGACAATCCGGTCGACGAAATAGCTAACAAAAATGTTTCCATGCCAAAGTTAGAGGTTTGATTCTTTTACTTATAATAGAATTAATAAAAAATAGCATTTTTGTGAGATTTGGAAAACACGAAATATGGCAAGCGAATATTTTTTCCAAATGCAATTATATAGAAGACTGTTTTTTCACAGTATGCTTCATCAGACATGCTCAAACCATTACCTTCGTAGTAGCAATAATACATCGTTGTGAGATTAGATCCTGTTGAAGTATTCACGAACACATGTTTTCCAGAAAAACTGTCAGAATTGTTATAAAATTCGGTCTCAAACAAAATATACTCCATTTCACTTTCTGCATATTTCACCATTTGACATTTGGGAGATGTCAATGAATTAGATGTCAACAAATAGAAAGGTTTGGTAACAGGCAACTCAATCGGTTCATACCATTTGCCATCAGTTTGACAGCAGTAATAAATACGTGTATCGTCGTCATACGTGCCGTAAGGTAATATTCCTCCCTTTTTATTCTTATTTCTATAGTTTTCATCGTCCCATTTCACATTGCCAGAACTCATTCCTTTTGGACAGTTGTCACTTGACTTATAAATACAATAAGAACCTTAAAAAAGCAAATTGATAAATCAGTCACGCTTGTCCTCTAAGAGTTCATTCACACTCAAACTAATTGAGTGGAACAGACAAATTTCGTATGAAATAATTAATGACAAATAAATTTCTTTTTCGACGGCAAGATTTTTGATAAAATATTTTAAATCAAGCTTTAGCTAATGAAGTGAAATTACCAGGGCCATTAATGGGGAAGGGTCATTCATTAATATATTCAATTGCGCCCTACTGATTTCTTTCCAAAGCAAAACCATTTTCAAAAGAAGTCAGTCATCAGTCGGGCAAAAGTCAACATAAACATCCCACAATCAACATTCTAACAATACTACCATGGAAAATAGCATCTTCGAATTATACTATGAGCTTTTGAAAAAAATTAATCAGTGATTGTGAGAGTTATTTTTTGAGAATACGGACAAAAGACCTGTATTTTAATATGTTTCGGTGGCAAGATGTCCTGAATAACGTGCAAAGAGTGTCATCCGCTGCACGTGATGGGGAAAATTTGTAAATTTAATGATCATGAAAAATTGCTTGGTATTTTATTGTACAAACGTTGCGTTTCACCGTTGAATCCAACCACAATAGTTATACAAAATACAGAAACGCAACAAAAATTATTTACATAGGCATACAGGCTCGTTATATATACATTTTGCACCTAAAATGAACCGAAATAGTTTTATGCTACATTATTTTATGCCGAACGATAGTGAAACACGCCGACAAGATATCAAACATTACATAGAAACTTTTAGTGAAAAGCTATGTGTTCACTTGTTATGTAAAGTTTAAACATAGCCTTCAATTCTTCGTTAAAAATGACTAAATTTTGTGGCTATTGAGCATCATAGGGAAAAAGGGAAAATGCAAAATCCTCGTACTTACCATTAGGCCAAAGTCTATTTTTTTCGTTTATTTGGTTCAACATACAGAATGTTCGATTGACATCAACACCTGAATATCTATAAGGAAATGAAACAGCTATATGGCTACAAAGTGACGATCTTGACTTCGTTCCATATTCTTCCATATTCTGGAACCTCCATCCTTCAAGCCATCCACTCTTCCGGTCACCAGGACATCCACTTTCAGCTTTAAGTAGACCAAAGTTACCATTTGGCCACTCATTCTCTTAAAAAATTAAAAGCTACTTCATTCTTTAGCACAGATTTTACTTTTTGAAGAATTAGGTTAAGTAATTTTTCTGCCTGAAATTCGAAATTTTACTGTGGAAACACACAAAATCCTTGGCAGCGCAATGGGAAAGTCTACATTAAAACGATGATATAAATACAGTATAGAAAAGATGCTAAGAAAACAAAATTAAAAAATCGCGTTAGTAAACGCTAGAAAAAAAGGGCTTTCTTTTGACATGTGTAGCAACATGGTAGAAGTTCCATGTCATAGGAATTGAGCAATTTACCGATTACGAATCCAAATATTTGGACTATAATTTGTAATCCTTACAAATTACAGTCTAAAAATTGACGATTTGAGCTCAGATTTAGAGAAAAAGGCTAAGATATGAAACCACACTTACTGTTAAGTTTTTGCATGAGCAAATTATTCTCATTAAAAAAGTGAAACATTTTAAAAATATTGAATTTTAAACCTCATATCAGCATCACGATCGTATTAACGTCAACTGAATACACAAGAAATACAAAAACATTAATTATTAATAGAAAACACTTCAAACCTTCTAATGGTGTGGCAAAATATTTTGCATAAAAAGTAAATAAGCTTTTTGGACGCAACCCATTGCTCAAAGATTTAACCATGAGAAATAAATGATTTTTCGATGAACGTATTTTCATTTCGGCTGTTTTGTTTCCTTCACAATATTTACCAAGTAGGGGGTAGGTATCATTTTGACCATCGTAGATCGTGAGAAATGTACTGTTGCATTGTGTCATAGTCAGTTTTAAGAATTTTAGTGTTATAAGAAATGGTTCTTCAACAGTTATCAGCCAAGAGCAGCATTGAAAGCTTGAGCTTTTTTTATCTTCGATTGACTTGTGCGAAGATATTGAGCCAGAAGGTCCAAATAATAGACAACGGCAATCTAAAGTGTACGAATAGTAACCAATAAGAAAAACGCAAAGAAAATTTTATACACAGTAAATGTAATTTGTCATGTTCAACGCATTACCTTTGTAGTAGCAATAATACAGCTTTCTGAGACCTGGCCTAGCTGAGCTATTCACGAACACATGTTTTCCTGCAAAACCGCCATAAATGTTATTATCATCTGTATCAAATAATATATACTCCATTTGACTTGTCGCCCATTTCACTATTTGACATTTGGGGAGTGACAATGAATTAGATGTCAACAAATAGAAGGGTTGGGTAACTGGCAACTCTATGGGTTCATACCATTTGCCATCAGTTTGACAACAGTAATGAATGACAGTGTCGTCATTATACGTGCCGTGAGGTAATTGTCCTCCTTTTTTATTCGAATTTTCGTCATCTTCATCGTCCCATTCAACAAACCCAGTACTCATACCTTTTGGGCAATTCGCATTTGACTTATAAATACAATATGAACCTTTGAAAAGAAACAAGATTTATCAAAAAAAGTAATATCCACATTATTTGATCAATATGTAAGTAGGAAATACCATTATTTGTGAATTATATGGTCTCAATGATGGCAAAAGTTCGTGAATTGTGAATTAAAGTAGCTAAGTTGAGCTTAGTGACAGAAGTTGAGCATCCAGCTTGCATGCATGCATAGTCAAGGTGGATACCTAACTTGACAACAGACAAAAAAGGCGAGCAGAATGCAGAAATCCAGAATTTACAAAAAAATCACAATGAAAAAAGAAAATACAAAAGCAGTGGTACTCACCATTAGGCCAAAGCCTTTTTTTTTCGTCTATTTGATTCATCATACAAAATGTTCGATTGATATCAACACCTAACTTTCTCATATGAAAGGAAACAGCCATGTGGTTTTTAAGTGATGCTTTGGAATTCATACTACCATCCTTCATATCCTGAAACCTCCATCCTTCACGCCAACCACTTTTCCAGTCACTTGGACATCCAGTTTTGGCTTTGAGAAGACCAAAGTTACCATTTGGCCACTGGTTGTCTGAAAAAAACAAATTACTTAATGGTTAAGCACTTTTCAATTAGGTTAAATAAAGACACATTTTTCACTTAGCACTCAGCAGTGAGAAACAAGTTAAATTTGTTGAAAACGAGGACTACCTTCCATGCATTGAGAGTTTGATGGACATCCTCAATTTACCGTAGCAAAGTCAAAAGATTATTGTTTATTGGTCATTAAAGATAAATTTGCTGGTGTGAACAGTGCTAAATCGGATTTGTTTCAATGGAATTGAGCTTCATATTCAGGTTTCAGCAGGATGACCACAAATAAAGGAAAGCTTACACGACTTTTAGTTAATACTGATGAACGTTCAACATTTTCTATAATTTTACTTAAGAACTAAAACGAGAACAGCAGCTAGTTCTGCTTTAGAGAAGCCTTGTGAATGACCACATAAAGATCATTAGCAAAAAGTTATCTTTTTTTGCACATGTAAAACTATTCTCAGGGAAAAATTAAAACTTAAAAAAGATTTCAATTTGAAATCTCGTATTACCCGATCACATTTACAATGTCAATTGCCCAAGAAATAATTTGAGAAAATTAAGATCAAACCTTCTAATTGTGTGACATAATATTTTGCACGAAATGTAAACACTTTTTTTGGATGCGACCCGTAGCTCCAGAAATTAGTCACCAGAAATAAATGGTTTTTTGAAGAAAGCACTTTTATTCCAGCAGTCGCGTTTTCACCACAATAGTTACCAAGTACAAAAGAGGTATCATTTCGACCGTTGTAAATAGTGAGAGACGCAAAGTTGCATTGAGGCACAGTCAGTCTCGAGAATGATAGCAAAATTTGTAATGTTTCTTTTGCAGTTATTAACCACGAGCAACATTGAGAGCGCGAGTTTCTTTGGTATCTGGTTGCATTGTGTGTAACAATTGAACCGCTTGGTCCAGTAAAAATACAACGACAGTCTAAATATGAAAATAGTTTCCCATAAGAAAATAAAATAGACAACTTTTTGCAGTTAGCGTCCATATTAAAGGAAAGATACTTCTTTCTAATTTTTGCGTACCAAAATATCAAGAAATGGGAAATTTTCCAAAATTGAACCCGCATGGAAACATATTGAAGTTACTTCCTTGATGAATTATAACATGTTAATATTATATGGTCTGTTTTAGTCGAAACTAGGATTATTTCATGTTTTTAAACTTTTCCATATATCAATGTTCACCAAATTTATAGACCCTGGTCTCAAAAGCTTTACGAAACGTCAATTTTCTGGGTGTGACGTGGCACATTTGCCTTTTCATCTCTATAAGAAAAGTACTGAAAAGCCATAGTAGCAATTGCATGTTTTAAGATAAATTTACCCTGGGATACAACAAATATCCCATACTTTACAAGGAATTCCTTGTTTTCTACACTTAAAGCAATTATAATAGCAACAGGGCAGTTCCTAAAACGTTAAGTGGGGAGTTATTCATATATTCAGACGTACCAGACTTATTTCTTTTGAATAAATGATTGCTTAATACCTTCAGTGAATTGCCTTCAAAAGAATCAGGGCAAAACTGAATATATTAATGAAACACCACACACACACAGATTTAACGTTCTAGGGACGGACCTACAACAGAAATACAGTGTATAGATGTCCCACACGTGACGAAAGAATCGCCCACGTAGCTATATTGTGCCGTATTACGTTCTGAAATATCAGAAGTTTGTTTTAAAGATTCAAAATAAAAACTTGCACGATATCCATAAATAAAAGTAGCACATAAACATTAATGAGTAAAATCGCAAATCAAAAAAAAAACAAAACATGAAAAGTATCTCAAAAAATGAAAGAATTGCAAACACTATATGAAATTCTGGTTCACAAACGTAATGAGAAAAATATAGCTGTCGCTATAAAAATTTGTCGAAACGAGATTAAAGGCTAGACCGCCTTCTTTACTTAAGTCTAACAAGTAACGGCTTCAGCTCAGTTTTTGAAGAGAGAGTCTCAATTATGAAAGAACCAAAACTCTGATGACAGTAATCCTTGACAAGACAACAATTTCCTAACATATAAGATGAAACATAATCTGAAAAAGGACATCTTGTAAACTTAAATTCAAGTTATAAAACAAGACAATTAAAAGTGTAATATTTTGGTTTTATTTCAAAACCATTATCAGACGAAATGGTCATCAACAACAAGTTCATAGCATTAATTACACAAATGGTACTAAGATGTTATGTACAATGATAAATATAAAAACAAACCTTCTAAATGTGTGGCATAATAGTGAGCAAGAAAAGCAAACAAACTTTTCGAATGAGATCCAAAACTATCAGAGTTGCTCACGAGAAATAATTGATTCTTTGACGAACGTATTACCAGTCCTGCGCTTGCGTTTTCTCCACAATATTTACCAAGTACAGGGGATGTATCATTCGGACCATTGTAAATGGTGAGGAGTGACTGGTTGCACAGTGGTATAGTTAATTTTGAGAATGAAAGCGAGATGATAAATGTTTCTTTTACAGTTATTAGCCATGCGCAACATCGAAACCGTAAATCACTTTCATATTTAGCTGTTTGTAGCAAAGATATTGAGCCACGTGGTCCTGTGAATGAACAACGGCAGTCTAAAGTGCAGAAACAGTTTCAAATTAAAAAACGTTTAACTAGCAGAACTATTTTTCAAAATTGTCATTGTGTATAAAAGAGGTCATTTTTCATTGTAAATCTTATTCGTCGTGTCATTACCTTCGTAGTAACAATAATGTAGCTTTCTATGACGAAATGCGTTTAAAGTGTTTACGAACGCGTGTTTTCCAGAAAAACGATCAGCATTGTTATCATCTTCGGTATTGAATGTTATATACTCCATCTCACTTGTTGCCCACTTCACCATTTGACATTTGGGAGATGTCAATGAATTAGATGTCAACAAATAAAAAGATTGTGTAACTGGCAACTCTATGGGTTCATACCATTTGCCATCAGTTTGACAACAATAATGAATGACAGTGTCGTCATCATAAGTGCCGTAAGGTAACTCTCCTGCTTCTTCATTTAAATTTCGATCATTTTCATCGTCCCATTTAACAGACCCAGTACTCATACCTTTTGGACAACTTATATTTGACTTATAAATGCAATATGAACCTTTTAAAAGAAACAAAAACTGTTTGAAAATGTAAAATCTACGTAACTATGGAATTTTGAAAAATCTGTTTGGTTGTCGGAAGTATCCACATTTCAGCAACCGATTTTCAATTAGATTAAAATAGTTTTAACTGATGGCAAAATTTATGAAATACATTAATCAAAACTTCGCAAAGTAGTTGCGCTTAGTAAAGTTGGCTGGAGATTCTGCTTGCAAAGTCACAAATAACCAAAATTCCAACACAAATATCACACAGGATTATTGGATGAATGTAAGTATTTGATTGAAACATCATGGCTTAAGTTGATCGCAAATATCGTACAATAATTTATGCATGCAGAACTTGAAACAATGAAATACAAAAGGCAGTTTTTGGTAATAAGCTATATGGTGTGGTAAGACTAAATTGCATTGTCACTGAAATGTAAGAGCTATCAAAAATATCTTAATTTAAGCAAAAATGCCAAAACAAACTCCCCGATAGGCCAAGGTATTGTTTTTTTGTTTATTTCGTTTAACATACAAAATGTTCTGTTGATATCCCCATAATCGTCTGAGAAAATATCCATGTGGTTTTTAAGTGACGCTCTTGAATGTTCACCATAATCTTCCATATCCTGAAACCTCCAGCCTTCACGCCATCCGCTTTTGAAGTCACCAGGACATCCAGTTTTAGCTTTAAGTAAACCAAAGCCACCATTTGGCCACTGACTCTCTACAAAACAAGAAATGCTTGGCATTTTCAAATAATTAAGTCAATCCAATTTACATGGACCCAAATTTTTCAAACAGCAATAACAACTTATAATGAGTTTTTTATGTAAGCTATATATTAAGTTTTTCAAAAACATACATAAAATCTTTTGTATAACGCCTTTGATAGACAATACTATTATTTTCACAAGTTTGTAGATGTATAGCTAGATCGTCCAGGTTAGTACAATTATTATCTGTTGTTTTTATTTAGATTCGTTAAAAGATATTGAGAACTCACCTATTATAGTGTCTAAATTTTGTAAGTTTTTTTGTTTTTAAAACAACCCCAGTCAAAATCAGAAAAGTTAGTTTCTCAAGTTTTGTACCGTTAACACTCTCGACAATGTATTTACTCTTAACCTTTTCTTAATTATTTAAAATTGGGAAACTCAAAGAAATTGAGAGGCCTGCGGGCCCTTTCTCCAAGACTCATGAACACACCACACAACTTTCTTTTATCCTTCTTGGGTCCTTATAAACCAGGGCTAGGTTTTGAGCATGTTTTACAGCCTATTAGAAAAGTGCTGTAAGTTTATAGTACAGTCTAACAAGTTATTTTTGATAAATGATACTCCTATAATCAAGTCATCGTTGGTTCCACTAACCAAATAAAGCAGGCAAGCAAGCTGAGCACTCACGCACCTTTAGAGTTTGCATTAACAACAATATAACACGTGTGATTTTTTCCACCGTACAAAACATACTTATAAGGGATTTTGTGTTGACCGATTCCAAAAAAACCAACAGGTTCGAGATATGACTTTTCCACCCTTTCTAACATATACTTATGCGGACATGTGAAGTTTTCGGGTTCTTTCCAATATAATCGATTTGTGGACCCAAAGGCAGTTATGTTCACAATACTCGGGCTACATCCACACGTCCCTAAACACAACTATGCATTTGTCAAACTTCTCATTTTATGTTATCGAGCAAAGAATATGTTCTTATTTTCTTATTCTGAATAAATAAAACTGGGTTATGTAACCTCGCTTAAAGTGCATATAAACCTTGCGTGGTTTTTATACTATCCAATGTACGTGGTGTCAAAAGCCATATTCCAAAACTTTGATGTAATCGGACAAATATTTTCAGTTGTACAGTCTATCAAAGTTGCAAAAATATACCATTTTACGCGATCGGTTTTACCGCTTAAGGACTGAGCCTGCGCGGTCGGGTGACATCATGTAAGTAATCGCTTCCTGAACATTATACTGATTTAACAAGTATTTTCTTTACAATTGTCACATCATGCTAAATGCCCATGTATTCGCAAGGAGATATACCAGTTTGCATGGACAGACACCGGTAAAACACTGTACTCCAACCAGTGGCGTAGCTAGCGGTCCCGCTACTCCCGCCCAGCAGGAGTAGAAATTTCCCAAAAAAATAATAAATATTCTATTTGGACATAAGATATACATTATTTCACGAACAATTTGTAATATTATGTTTTATTCGTTCATATTTACGCTTTTATTAGGTGGTTCGTAATCGTAATACAGCAAAATCTCAAGATTTGTTATGTAACCTAGCAACCGCCTTTTCTCGCACATTGCATACTCGCGCGATTCTCCACGTATTCCGCCCATCTTCAGAGGGCGGAACATAAATATAATTCTATATAAGAAGTTTTGAATTCTGGTTGGCTAAGGGACTTGACGCATGCTCAAATCTGCTGTTTTATAGTCGAACTCCCGCTATTTTAAATTGGCGGAGGTTGTAATTATTCGACCTTTTAATACGAGTACAGCGATTAGTGATTATCAAATTACGTGTCATTGTCGGTATTAATTTTCCATTGTGTTTACTCTCAAATTGCTATTTTGTATTTGTGTATGACACAATGGCTTCAAGTGCGACTGCGATTTGCTCAACTGATGTTGATTTAGTAAATAGCTTATTAGCTAAACCGTTCTCTGCTCGATCGTCGGTCGAACAGAATGTTATCGTTCATGAACGGCCTACTCCTGATTTAACTATCCAAAATAAGGGAAGAGCATTTCAGAGAGATTGGTATGAGGCGAAGGACTGGCTGTGTGGCAGTACAACCTTGCAGAAAGTGTTTTGTTGGCCATGTCTAATGTTTTCCCCAAAACATCGCCATCGTGGACTAAGAATGGCTACAACGATATGCGGAGTATTATGTCTGATGCTAAGAAGCATGAAAATCTAAATCGCATTTGACTGCATTTAAGACATGGAAAACGTATGGAGCTAGTGAACGAATTGATTGTCTTATGTCCCTCGCTAGAAGAAATGAGATTCAGCGTCACAATGAGGAGGTAAGACAAAATCGAGAAATTTTAAAACTGTTACTGAGGCCGTGCTGTATTTGTCAAAGCAAGAGTTGCCATTTAGAGGTCACAATGAGTCCGAAGGTAGCTTGAACAAAGGTAATTATAGAGAGTTGCTCGAATGTTTTGCTAAGTTTGATTCTGTATTTGAGCGTCGACTGCACAGTAGACTAGCAGAATCTGATATAGTTGGTGACAGAAGATTTACTGGAGTCTCCCCAGAAATTCAAAATGGTCTTATCAGCTGTCTTGATTCAATTATTGAAGATGAAATCAGAAAGGAAATAAATGATTGCACATTTATGAGTATTCAGGTTGATGAAGCATCTGATGTCTCCACCAAAGAGCAGCTAAGTGTTATTGCTCGGTTTGACAAAGCAAGTGAAATTATGGAGAGGCAATTAGGATTTGTGGATGTAAGTATGAACAGAAATGCCACAGCAATATCACAAGTTGTCAAAGATAAACTTGGTGAGTATTCTAATATAAAAGAAAAACTGGTTTTACAAACATATGATGGTGCTTCTGTCATGTCTGGCCATATCAATGGTGTTCAAGCATTGGTTCGACAAGAGTATCCTTTTGCTCATTTTGTTCATTGTGCAGCTCATAGATTGAACCTGGTCCTATGCCAGTCAGCCTCATCAATTTCTCCTGTTAAAATCTTTTTATTAATATAGCTACATTCAGCACATTTACAAGCAATGCCCCAAAAGAAAAGCTTTTCTCACATCTAACAACCTTGAGTTTCCTGCCCTGGTGAAACAAGATGGTATTATCGCTCTAGATTAATCAATGTATTGCACAAAACTATGAAAAACTTTTAGATATTTTTGAGGGGTACTTGAACAACCAGCTGGGTGGGATGATGAGTCATTAAGTAAAATAAGTGGCTTACTGCATTATCTTGATAGCTTTCTCTTTTGTTTTCTAGTGTGTGTTTTTTACAGGATTTTAGAACAGTCCACAATTTTGTATTCCATTCTTCAAAATAGGGAAACCCATTTTAACTATGGCATAAGCAAGATTGACAATTTCAAGCAGTTTATTGTGTCACTTGCACAGATCAAGCTTTCACCGAGTTTTACCAAACTGCACTAGAAAAGTAGGCCCACCAGCAACCAGAGCAGATAGTAGATACAATTACAAACAGCTTTATTTTGAGATTATTGATTCCATTAAAGGCATGTTAAGTGAACGATTTCAAGATATTAATCAGTTCGAGTTTTTAGACCTTGTAAATCCTAAACTATTTACTACATGGAAGGGCATAGTTCCACAGGAGAAGATCAATCTTCTCAAAGATAAGTATAGTCCTCTTTTGACATCCAAACTTTGGAGAGTCAACTTTCCTTCATTTACAACGACAAGGACTTTCACAAAGAGTGCAGTAATGAGGTTCTTAAATACATCTTCAAATTTAATCTCCAGTCGAGTTTAGGTCAAGTGGTAAATTTGTTAAAATTGAATGGTGTGTTGGCAGTGGCAAGTGCTTCAGTAGAGAGGTCGTTTTCTTGCTTAAAAGGGTAAAAAGCTATTTAAGAAATAGAATGGGTCAAGGTCGGCAGCTCTTTGTGTAGAATATCTATTCACAAAGATATCATTGAAAAGAAAGAGGAATCAGAGGTGTTGCATAACGAGGTGGTTGAAAATTTGTAGAAAAACCAGGAGGCTGGCCTTTCTTTATAAATGATGAGTATAGTATGTGTTTTGATATTTGTTCGTATAATACATGGTACTTCATTGAGAAAATTAAGCATAACTTTAAAGAATAAAGCCATCCCTGTCTACTTGCCCCAATCTAAACAAGTTTAAACTAACAAGTAGAATGCTAAGAAAAATCTCTCTATGCGCTTTAGAAGTGTCGTATACTATATTATTTTTTGTGCTAATACAAATTTCTTCTGTTTATGCAGGGGCAGTGATGAATAAATTATGTTTTAGAGGACAATTGTCTCCTGCGTAACGTTTCTCTGAGCCACCTTTAGTACCTTTATAAATTATTGTACAACAAATAATTCGCCCTCGAAATCGCAGGAAATGCTGTTTCCAAGGCTCTAGATTTCAAAATTTTCCGGGGGAGCATGCCCCCGGACCCCCCTAGTGGGGTCGCGCCTCCGGTGCGAGATGGATTGGCGGGAGTGACTATTTTTCCTAGCTACGCCACTGACTCCAACCCTGTATCATAATTTGCATTTTCTGATGAATCTGAAGATGTTTCCCATCCAGATGAGGACATTTTGAAAAAAAAACGACGCAAAACTCGAAATATTGGCAAAAATATTGATTATTTAAAAAAGCAAATAACTTGTTTTGAATGGAGACTACGTGACTGTATTCCTTACATGACGTCACAACATGTACTGGATACCAGACCCCATTGGGAAATAAATGTAGTGAAAATCTGGACTTTTACACAGTAATTGCAAAGAAAGCTTTAATCTCAATTCATTTGTTTTTTTGAATTTTTAGTTTTCGAGAACTGCTCCATCAAACTATACTAAAATCCTATAAGGTTTATATGCACTTTAAGCTGGAGCTCAAACCATTGAATCTTCGATGATTTTTTGAGGATATTACTTTTATGCATTATGCAAATCGGTATTACATGCAAATTCTATGAATGGGTAGTGGAGAAAAACAATGTTTTTAAAATTATTTGTTTTGATATTGTGTCAAAAATGCTTGGAACAAATCTGAATATAGTTCTACAGGTCGGAATGCAGGTCTAAAGGGTGACACAAAAGAGAAGCTGGGTATTTATTTTAAGAATTGTTGTGTCTACTTAGAAAGCCCGTGGGCGATAGAAGTGCCAGTTAAATGCGTTCAATGGAAAGCACAATCATTTTGCGAAAATCGGGGGAGGAAAAACAGTTTAGTTCTCAGAATACGAACACGCAGAAATAATCAAAATTCAACTGGAGCAGTTAACGTTTCTAACTGAAATTTCATGTGCTTGGTATATGTCTTAAAACATACAGTATTATTCTTTAAAACTTATCTTCCGTTTCATAAAACTGTTTACATATTTTACCTTCAAATGGACATATTTCAGTGAACATTCTAAATCGTTCAAAAAGATAATTTTTCTCTTTAACGCAACAACTTGGGGGAGAATTTGTACATTTTGAATCAAGTATACGTTTGTCGAAAACAAATTTCTTCCATTCTTCCTCACAAAAGTGAAGTTCGTCATTCCAACGCACTTTCAAAGTCAATCCTTGACCAAATGCCAGCCACAATAGACACCACATCATTAAACTCGCCATTGTATGGATTAAATAAAAAGAAGTAAAGCTCTATATCGGATCAATATGTTGCATGACTACAAAGCTTGAATTTATCAGTTTTTACTTTTTCTTATCTCTTGAAGATCTTCGGCTCAAGGAGCAACACTTGAAATTTTGGATTTTTTTAGTAATCATTCTTACGCGTTGATATTTGCCCGTATGTTAAACACTCATTCTGAATTTACCCTCCGAAATAGGAATGGCATTAGACATGGTCTTGTTGCAATAAGGTGAGTTTACCATATAGTTTATTATTATCCAACATCAAAAAACTATTTTTTAAGCAAATTTTATTTCCATTTGTTACTTAATTGTTTAATGAAGGAGAAGATGAACTTTCAGGCTAGTGCATTGTTCAACAACTAACATATTTGAGACATTTTGGTGGATTAAGAGAGAGGGGGAAAGTGTAACATTTTATTAACTCACCATCATCTTTACGTTGTTTTAAATGTTCTGCAGAAAATTTAAGCAAAGATAACCTGTCATTGTCAGTATATAAAGTTTGCATGGCATCGTGCATAACGATAATAATGAGTACTACTCACGGAAATATGTGTTGAATGCAAATCCTTTTCTTTTCTGTTGTATTACGTATTCTCCAGGACTGAAAATAGAAAAAAAATCAAAATACATTAGTTTTCTTCTATATGAAAAAAAAATTTATTGCATCTTATCGTTGTATCTTTTAGCAGTATAGTTGAAAAGTACGCAAACAAAAAGGCGATAAAGATAATGAATAGATGTTTTTTGAAGACGTTTGACGTAAGCCACTCGACTCAAGCACTTTTTGAGAAAGCCATAACTATTCCTAAGCTACGACAATTTTTCGGTTTATTAATTGCTAGTGAATGCGAAATTCATTATATTTTGACCAAAATAAAGATTCTAAAAACAATTCCGTATAATTCTACGTTTAGCATTTTTGAAACAACATAAAACGTCAACACAAAAAGCCTCCATCACGGGCTCTTACACATAAGATATATGCAGCTGGCTAATGTGACGTATAGTTTACAAGTATATTTAGCATTGTTGCGATAAAATTCCCAGCTGGGCACTTTCTAGATTGATTTAGTTTTACCCATGTAATTCAGTATATGATAAAATTCTGAGCCAAACAGTATTTTACTTTATAAAAAGTTGAAAAACGCATAGAAGACAAATTTCATTACAAAACAGTATTTTGAGGAAGCACAATTCACCAAAAGTTCATCGGCGAATCTATCGTGGATTTGGATGACAGCCATGAATATTCTTGTTCAAAACAATAATCGATAAAGAGTTTGGTTTTGACGATAAGCACGAAAAACGTCATCGAATCGACAGGCAAAAACAAAAAAAAATTTAAAACAACCAGTTATAACATTATTAAATATTTTTTGGATTTGATGCAAAAACAATTGTTTATACGAAGTTGCATTGCCCACAATGCGTGCCAGTATGATTTCAGAAGCTTTAAAAATGGCATTGATTTCTTTCAACAGAAGTTACGTCATTTGTTTTATATTGTCACTTGTAATGTAACTATATCAATACGATAAGTAAAGTCTATGCCTCTCATAGATTAAGAGAAAGCAACCCTTGTCCATTTTTCAGATAGTTAAATTTGCATTAGCTACGTTGCAGACATTTTTCGTATCGTGAAGACTTCTTCATTTTCTTTAGTATTATAAGATTAACATATTGGGGCACGTTAATAGCAAAAATGAGGAAAAAATTTACCACTTAAAGATGTACAACTTAATATGTTTTGTATTTGTAGTTTCCAGTATTCTAACTGTTCACATCAAAACGCCATACATTAAACTTTGAGAGAAGCAACAATGATATATAATTTCAGGTTTCCATTAACAATTAACGGTAACATATGGCATTGCCACTTAGACTTCTCATCATATTCTTTTATGCACTCAGTTTGTTTACATTATTAAGTGGCGTTTGACGAACAACGCAAGACCAACTGCTAACTTAAAATAGTCAAGCATGAAACTAATAAAGAGACATAAAAACGAATATTTTAATATCTAAATTATATTTTCGTTGAAAATGACGCTTAACATGACAGTTAACTTTCTAAATAATTCACTCAAACCTCTCTTTATCAAAGAGGTATTGAAGTTTTTGTATTGTCCGACTTGTGCACAACAAGTGATGTCATATTATAAAACATTTCGCTGCAAATTTATAAATATCGTTAAGTTTCCTGACATTTTTTGAAAGAAATACTTCTGCAGAGTTTCATATCTTTAACATTCCAAAACTACAGGACTTCAGGCGTGTTGTAAGATTGTAAGTAATATATACATATACACATAATATAACAGCAAACATTCCTGATTATTTGATTTCTAATTATGCAGTGTGGTGCCAGCAATGGTGTAAAATGAACATTAGAAAACTTAAATGTCTTCAGAAGGGAAAGAGATATCACTAAGCCGTTTTAAAAAGTCTGCTTTTATTATAAGAGCATGAAAATATAATTTAATTACTAACCTTTAAGCAACTGCGCCAGCACAAACTGTGACATCAAAATATCCAAGCCACACTTTTTGATAACATAGCAAGAGTAAAACTAAAAAATGAATATTTATTATCCGTTTGGAAGTAGACTTTTGAAGCATTTTTTCTTTTGGAAAAAATTATTTTAGTTACATCAAAACTCTTTCAGATTTCCTTTATCATACTTATTTTGCAGCTCATTTTGATAAAAAAGGCTGATCATGACAAGAGAACAATGGACAAGGGGAGTTTGGATTTTGATAAAAATGTATATTGGTAGATCTATTCATATTTAAAAAGGGTGGCACAATAATCTAATCATAACAGTATCAATGCTTGTCATCGTGTTCCGTGGACGTATTTAAGATTTGCACTAAAAGAAAAAACTCGTGCGACCCGATAAATGAGAACAGTCATGTCTTCATGCCTCAGACGCAAAGTAAAATTATTTAGTAACCGTAATTTATGTGTTTGATGATGGCTGAACGCCTGAAAGAAATGAAAAGTGCTAAAACATAGTAATTCAAAACAATAAGAAACTAAATGGTTTATTGAAGAACAATAACCTGGGAGATATTACCAAAGTCAAATGTCATCAATTGAATAATAATTAAATAAGGTTTAGTCGAGAATGCAAATTTTACTCTCAGTATGAATACTAGAACAAAAGAAGCAGGGCGCGCTGGGCATTATTATACTCTCCCCCGATTATTTTCGAGCTGTGTGCGAATTAGTTGGAAAAAAAACGATGTGCAATTTTTTTAATAAAAGTGTTTCGTTATAGACATAATCAAATCGATATTACGTTAATTACTATACAGCGCGAATTGCTAAATTAATAATTTTAAACGTGCACAAATTCATATGGTTTACAACAGTATTTTTTGTTACAACCGCTGATCCACTTAAAATTATATGAGAGAAATTTTGTGTGCATGTTATTCTCTCCTCTTTTTTGTGCAAACTTTACAGAAAAATATATTCACCACTTGGCCATCATCCTAGTACTCAAACGAGTCAGCATTTGATGTTTCCATCCATTTTTTTACTGTATTAACTTTGCTGGTAGCTACAACCTTTCGACGAAAACGGCAAGAAAGACAAAAGTGAAAAGAGTATAACCGAATATACTTTTGCTTTCTGCTTATTAACAGTAACATCCTTGATGTTTGCTTACGATAAAAAACATCATAGTTATGTCATATTACAAGCAATATGTAAAAGCAAAAAGTATGGCTGATCAAGGTTGCCAGTTTGACTTAGTAATTTGAGCTAAATTTGGCTTCATTTTCTCACGTTTGGCTATTTTAGTTAAAATCAAAATTCCCTTTAGTTTATTTTTCAAATTTGGCTTATTTTAAGTTTTTTTTGTCTTCTTTTAAGAATCAAAATCAACATGTTTCCTGATTTTACTGAAAATACTCAAAATAGCTATGATGCCAATTACCAAAAACAGTACGTAACGATTTACAAAACAACGCAAATGCAAAAATTGACATTAATAATGTATTACACCCCTATTGTCATAAGCATATAAGCACCATGTATGTTGACTGTTGACAGACTTCCCAGTCTTAAAATGACAACGTCTTTAAAATTTGATGACATTGAGTCAACATGGATTTTAATGTCGTGCAGCGCACTCGTTTATAAAGTAAAGATCGGTAAAGATTAAGCTTGAAAACTTTTTTCAATTTATGTGATAGTAATCAATAAAGACGTTTTTTGCATATCGTTTTAAAAAGTGATGTGTAATTGTTTTCATTTTAGCTAAAACGATGTGCAAATTGCACATTGCACACCGTTAACTTGCACACTGTTTTCGAGCCATTTTTAGCCTTTAAAATTTGTCTGGAAATCCCTAGTAGCACCCGAAAAGTTGGAGGGTGGTAGATAACACCCTCCAAACAAGTCGCACCTTGCAAGCTACGACATGACAACATCTAATTTTGTTATATTGCTATTTTGTATATTAACCAAATATAGCGCTCACTAGCTAAGTAGTAATTAGATATGTTTTAGATTACTGTTATAAAGTATGTCAGTATTCAATATCATTGACAGCAGTACAAGAAAAAACCACGTGGCAAAATTTACTGATTTCGTGAACTTCCCCATCTCATGTCAAAATTAGACTAGGGTATGTTTAATTGGTTAGCTGTAGAAAAGATCGTATGGGAAGCACTTTTTCATTGTAATGCAGGTGATATAAGCTATTAATGCGTTTAAGTGTTAGAATCTTCCTGAAACAAACTCCAAAGCATTATGCATGATCCCTTACCTCTTCCATTCCATAGTGCTTAAATCTCATAAGTAACACAGCTTCTTTCTACAAAAAGATTGCAACAAATTCCTCGATGAGAGATTTAAACATCACTATTAAACAGTCACTATACAAACAGAGAGATTTGCTCATTGTACTCACCTTGTACGAGATTTTGGATGAACTTTTCCGATCAATTGCTTTTTCATATTGACTAAATGTTTCTCATAAACGTTGTGACTATAAATAAACTTTAGTTTATTCTTCTCCCAAAGCACACGTTACAAAAGACTCAATAACTATCAACGTTAATTGTTTGCTCAATGAATGCATTTATTTACGAAACGTGGGACAAAAACTAATATCATCGGCAAAATTCTAGTTGATATAAGCTAATTAACGAGCCAAATCATTTTCAATATATGCAGTTCAACTTATGTGGAAAAACTGTTAGCTTCATTGAGTAAAAGCTAATAAGCTCGAAGTACAAACTTTTAAGAATGTCAGCCATTTGTAAACAGAAAATGTTGCATGACGTCACCTTTGTGAATAGACGACTTCTGTTTCGAGCCTAAAATTTGAAGTGTTAACAAGTTCAAGAAAAATGCTTAAGAAAGGAGAAGACCAAATTTGCAATCAAGGTATGCTGAAAAATGGTTAACGTTTGGAGTTTGAGGATTAGTAGTTGAGATAAATATGTTTACTGTAGAAGTAGGGCTTATACTTGACTTGCAATTCATCCATGTTGATGGTCTGATACAAAAGAATATTTTATTAGTGTTATTGTTGGCACCAGCCGACGTGGGTGAGCAGCATTGTTTTGTAAATCTAAAGAGAATGGTTGCAAGTCAAGAATATGTGGGTTAGAAATTAGGTTATTAGGCAAAATAGTTAATTAATTTCATATAATCAAGAAAAGTTTCTAGGAATTTGAAGTAGATTCATAAGTTGGTATGGCAAGGAATTTGGTTGCTTAGATAAAGAATAGGATTGTGAATCTAAGCTCTTAGGAAGATGGTTGTGATTTAAAATTTTTAAATACAATCATAAAATTATGAATACAGCATGCTTTCATACAAATCAAGGGCATTTTGCCAGAATAGGCTGTTTTTACTTTAAATAGGATAAACTTTATTCAGAGTTCTTGTTGAGTATTCCAATGTGAATTGCAAGTTATCTATTTTGTTTCAGCATAAACAATGTAAACTATGTATCGAATAATATCAAACAGTATGCATCACATAACATTTGGTTCTATGAAAGTCATTTCCTTGTAGTTGACACTTTATTTATTTCAGCAAATTAATATGTGATAATAGTTTTGTCTCACAAAGTCTTTGCTAATCACTTTGTATTGTTGTAAATAAAATTGACTTGTATGTTTTGTTGTAAAGTTTTCCTAACTATTATAGAAAATTTTAAAATGTTTACTAATTTAAGACTGTTTTCAAAATAAACTACTTAGTGAATAGCAAAATGCTAAACATTGATAACAAATTGGGATTCACTACCTTTTAAACTGAACCCTGACTTAATAAAGAATACGGCCTGTTTTACTGCTTGAAAATTTTAAATGCAGTGCATGTCAAATGAAAATGCTGTTTTTTGTCTCTAGCAATAATGTTATTAAGCTGTAAAGAAAGGACATGTAGTTAGAACTGTGGTTATTAGGAATAGGTTAATCCTACTATTAGTTAGTGTTGGTTATGGTAGCCGTGTTTTTAATGTTTGTCTTGGTATTGTCTTAATGTTGGTGTTAGTCTTTGTGTTAGTGTTAGTGCTGGTGCTACCGGTAGTCTTAGAGCTGGTGTTTTTCTTAGTAATAGTGCTAGTTCTAAAGCTACTGTTAGTCTTAGTGTGGGTTACGGGTGTAAATTGTTGTAATTGTGTTAGTATTAGTGCTGGGTTTAGTCTTAGTGCTAGTGTTTGTCTTAGTGTTAGTGTTAGTCTTAGTGCTGTTGTTAGTCTTAGTGTTAGTGTTAGTCTTAGTGTTAGTGTTAGTCTTCGTGATGGTGTTAGTCTTAGTGCTGGTGTTAGTCTTAGTGCTGGTGTTAGTCTTAGTGCTGGTGTTAGTATTAGTGCTGGGTTTAGTCTTAGTGCTAGTGTTTGTCTAAGTGTTAGTGTTAGTCTTTGTGCTGGTGTTAGTATTTGTGCTGGGTTTAGTCTTAGTGCTAGTGTTTGTTGTAGTGTTAGTGTTAGTCTTAGTGCTGGTGTTAGTCTTAGTGCTGATGTTAGTCTTAGTGCTGGTGTTGGTCTTAGTGCTGGTTAGGCATTTGCCGATTGTGCTAGTATAAGTGGCATATTATGCTAGTGGCAGTGCTCGTTTTTTGCCCAAATTATGCTCAAATTATGCTCGCTTTTCAAAATTATGCTACTTTTTTATAAAAAATTATTCTGTGCACAAACTTCACAACTCACAAGACAAGTTTGAAAATGTATTTTATTAACCCTGGCCAGACGTTCTGGGCTCGGTTGTTCAAAACCTGGGTAACTTTATCCGGTGGTTGGGCCTATACGGCGAATAAATCTGCTATCCAGCGGATAGTTATCCAGCGAACAAAAGTAGGTTGCACAAAGCCTGGATAGTGTGGTGGATAACTATCCGCGGATAGCTTGCTAGTTGCTAACCATCGCGTGTAGCAGAGCACGACACAGTTTGCGCAAGGTTTTGCACTCAAATGGCCTCCAGTTACCATGGTAAAGTATGCAAATTTCGAGTAAACAACGAACGGCGCGCGCGCTAGCAACAACGAACTGTGCGCGCTGGATTTCAAAACAAATAAAAACAAATACAGTGAAAACTTAAACATGCAGTTTCTGACAAAGCCCTGGATAACAAATTTAACATTGAATAATCTCGCTCGTTTCTGAACCACGCAGTCCGGCTTGACTTCTCTAATTCGTTCTCCAACAGTTAATTAGCGCTTGTTATATTGAAGCATCACACTTGCTTGCAAGTAATCTGCAAGTGCACGATCTTGTTGATCGTTGAATGAAGCTGCCAGGATGCTGAATACTCTCTCTGCGGCAGCAGACGATGGTTGGACCAACAGTATTTTCTTCACTGCCATGGACCAATTTGGGAGACGGTCTGCGTGGGCCTGCCACCACTCCACCTTCTTTTCCTCTTGTTCAATGACCACATCCTGAGCAGCAGCGACGTACTGTGGAAGCTCTCTAATTAGGCCATTGATAGTTGCATCATTGTCGAGGAAAGGGAAAATCCTTAGGGCTTCTATTGTGGCGGGTGTAGGCCTCATCCATTGAACGGCAACTGGACACATGATTCTTGCAGCTTTGAAGGCCGTGACGGTGTCATAGAGCTTCACGTTAAACTTCTGCAAGAAGCAAAGTATAGCCGGCTGTACACAAGCTTTTGCCTTCCGTTCTAGATCCGCGGCTCTCTGAGTAGCATCTTCGTTGCCAATTGCGGCAGCAACTGCGCGTACATTAGGAAAGTGCGGAGCTTGGCATGCGTCGGCGACAGCCTTTAACTTCTCGTAGCATGAAAATACAAGGGGCCCGTCACCTTCCAAGTAGTATGTAGCTTTGACAAAATGCTCTACTACATCAATGGTCACAGCCAACCCGAGCTTAAGATCGACAAGGCGCTGAGGATCTGAGAGTATAGCTCGAATCTGTGCCACAATCTTTGGAGCAATGTTCTCTACTTCCGCATCATTCAGGAATCCAGCAACGTCTCCAAACTGCTCCAGTAGCTGCCTGTAAACTTCCCATTTTGACCACCAGTGTGTTTCGCTATAGGATTTCCACTTTCGATCGGTTAGATCCTGCCATGCCAACTTTGCTTTATGGCTGTGACTGAATAAGCGTACCCACAGGTTTCCAAACTCCAAAAGAGTAGGAATTTCCAGATGTTTGCCAACATTATCGAGCGTGTGGAAAAAACAGACAATGTTCAACATCTTTGGGAAGATGAATGCTATCCGATCAATGCTGCTTGATTGACACTTGCTCCATCCCTCATCGCTGCAAGCAAAGAGTTCGCCTTGATCCCAAATTCAACGCAAAGGGCTTCGTTGAGAACTCTTGCTAGTTCTTCTGAATTCACCGACTTTGAGCAAATGTCAATTCTTATAAGACGCTGTGTTATCATCCACTCATCATTAATAAAGCGAAGGATTATCGCAATAGCCTCACCTTGCCTGGTGCTCCCGTCAAATATTACTGAAACGTCCCTTGTCATATCTTCTCCTGGCAAAGACAGTTCCTTCTTTATTCTCTCAACCTCTTGCTTGAAAATAAGAGAAACATACTGTCCGAGATGCGCACTATGAGTGAGGCGATACCCATTTTCTCTAGCAAAGGACGTAGCCTGTCTACCTTCCCGATTGGAATCCCTGCTTTCAAAATTCCTCCACTACTTCCTGTCGGTATGCTTGCTCAGCCAACGGCAGCGTGTTGTCTTTACGAGTCTTCTCTCTGCTGAGTGCCTCGGCTATCGTTTGTTCTCTTAACCTTGATCTCTTCAGCGCATCTTTCCCTTTGGCATGTTTTCTTGAACTACAATGTGATGCTAAAATGCTCTTTTTGGACGATACCATTTCTCTGCAGGCATTGCAAAAGATCGTTGTGCCTCTGACACTCAGGTGCTGATCAGGGAACTGATTAATACGATCTTGCAAAGGGACATTTTTCGCATTAGTGACATTACTCGTCCCCCTCCTCTTGTATTTTCCAGTGGTGGATTCGAGGCGTCTATCCCGGGCAAGTTGTGCAGGCTTTGGTCTATCCTCTCTGTTCTCGCAACCTTGTAAACTATCTGGATGTAAGTTCACTGCACTTGACTGGTTTGGCGTGGTGGCCGCCATTTTGAAACGAGCACTGGGAGAAAGGCTAAGGAGTCTGGGACCGAGACACAGACTTCCGGTTCCGTTTCATCGAACTCCCGCGGTATCTCAACACAAGTAAAAAAAATCGAAAAATAGGAGTGGAAGCAACTGTTAATAGTAATCTATCGTTTTTAGTAGCTGAGATCTTCGTTTTCTTGAATTATTCTAAAATTGTGCTATTAAGACAAGAAAATATACGGATTATGCTAGCAATGCTACTTTTTGAAAAAGGGCAAAAATTATGCTCAATTCCTCAGATTATGCTAAAAATTATGCTAGCACAATCGGCAAGAGCCTAGTGCTGGTGTTAGTCGTAGTGCTGGTGTTAGTCTTAGTGCTGGTGTTAGTCTTAGTGATGGTGTTGGTCTTAGTGCTGGTGTTAGTCTTAGTGCTGGTGTTAGTCTTAGTGCTGGTGTTAGTCTTAGTGCTGGTGTTAGTCTTAGTGATGGTGTTGGTCTTAGTGCTGGTGTTAGTATTAGTGCTGGTGTTGGTCTTAGTGCTGTTATTAGTCTTAGTAATGGTGTTAGTCTTAGTGCTGGTGTTGGTCTTAGTGCTGGTGTTAGTCTTAGTGTTGTTGTTGGTCTTAGTGATGTTATTAGTCTTAGTAATGGTGTTAGTCTTAGTGCTGGTGTTAGTCTTAGTGCTGGTGCTAGTTTTAGTGCTGGTGTTAGTCTTAGTGCTGGTGCTAGTTTTAGTGATGGTGTTGTTCTTAATGATGATGTTAGTCCTAATGTGGTGTTAGTCTTTGTACTAACGTTAGTTTTAGTGCCGGTGTTTTGATGATTTGACTGGGTTTTTTATAACTATGATGGGTGAAAATGCCTTAATGCTGGTGTTGGTCTTATTGATAGTGTTACTGTAGCTGAGTGCAACGTAGTGTTAGTCTTAATGCTAGCTTTCGTCTTAGCGTTAGTGTTAGTAGTGCTGCATGTGTTTGTGCTACTTTTGGTGTTAATGATAGTGTTAAGGTGGTGTTAGTCTTGATCTTGGTGTTGCTGTTACAGTTAATTGATTTTACACTCTCCTCTCTTCTCCTTGCCTCTCCTTGCTTGTCCTTTCTTCTTCTCGCATATTCTCTCCTCTTCGTTCCTGTTCTTTCCTTTTCTGTCTTCTTTTTGCTATAGTCCTCTCTTTTTCCCGTCTCCTTTCCACTCTACTGTAGGTTTTGTTGCAGTTATTGGTAGGAACACCAGTGTAGCACTGTTGTTTTGATCTGTTGTAAAATAAGAAATCGTGACGTCACTACCTGTTTGCTTAAGTCATATTTCTTCAATTTTGGGATATTTGCCTAAAACTACTATTTCGCTCTCAGTCGTGATCTGTATTTATTGCCAAAGTCAATTAAACAATTAAAATCGACTCAATAAATTTTCAATGTATGATGTTCAATATAAAATTTGATTATGTTTCTGAAGTTTTGTTAATTATATTCTCGTTTTTCAAAACACTTAAAAATGACTTGGTTATAAAAGCCAATAACGTGACAAAATATGGTTCGCATTTAATATAGTTTGATAATATGTGAGGATCGTCGTTTTTCGTGGATAAATGTCTATTTTGAGAATTTGATTTTAGATAATTTGGGCAACAAAGTTCATAAATTATATCAAAACGTTGATTACATTCAATAAGAGATTCTTAATAACCACCGATTCTTGAGTGGTCAAGTTGTCAATCTACGAAGTTTGCGATGCTATAGGTTCGAATCCTGGTTGGTTAAGCATTATAGTTGTACATGCATATATATGTAGGTTCTCGATTAAGGAGGTTAAATATTAAGAGAGTAAAGTAGGTTTATGATAGCAGTTTGTGTTTTATGAGTAAGAACTTTTTTACATGATACATGATTATACAGTTTCACAAGTAATCGATTACATGATTACATGACTGCATGATTTCACATGTAATGTGTGTCGTCTCTTATGAAGTAAGGACTTTTTCAAGTGTCATTTAATGTTTTCACTTTAGAAATGTCTTTTTGTCTGGCTTTGTGTCTGGCTTTGTCTGTACCTTTATGTCTACCTTTATTTTTACCTTTATGTCTACCTTCATGTCTACCTTTTTATCTACCTTTACGTCTACCTTTATGTCTATCTTTCTGTCTACCTTTGTGTCTATCTTTATCTCTATTTTTATTTTTACCTTCGTTAATTGTCGGTTTTTGTTGGTTTTTGAGCGACATTTGAAAAAGGCTACACAAACAATATTTAAAAAACACGACATGAACGACATTTCTGAAAGATGACATAAACGCTAAATTTACGTCCAGCACTTATGCTAACACTTGAATAAATTATCACAAAATCATACTTAGATTACTAAACGTTTTAAAATTTTTATAATATTTCTGACAAACTTGCTAAGAATTCATTTTTTTTATAACATAACATGTGAGTAGGAAAGACGTTGTGAGAACAGACTTGAGCCCTCACAATGTCCACTAATATTAAACCAATCGGCGCTTTCGTTGATATTTTTTGCACTGAGCTTATTGGAACATCTACATTTGTGTCTATCTTTGTTTCTACCTTTTTGTGCAAGTTTTTGTGTGCGTTTTTGTCTACCTTAATATCTACCTTTGCGTCCATCTTTATGTCTACATTGTAGTTTATATCTTTGTGTCTACGTTTATGTCCGTCTTTATGTTTACTTTTTTGTTTACATATTATTCTACCATTATTCTACCATTTTCTTCTACCCCGTTTTATCTTTTGCCGTCCTTTATCGCTGTTTTTGTGTTTACTTTTGTGTCTAACTTTGTTTTAGGTTTTCCCTATGGTATCTATTAGACTAACTGGACAATAAAATATATTATCATATGCTATAGGCTTCACTTTCTTTGATTTAGCGTGCTTTGATTGGTTAAAAAACGATTGTGCTTGTCTATTTCTTTCTTGTATTGTAGTGGCAAACCAGTCCAACACACAAACTCGCTCTATAGGCTAGATCTTTACAAAAAATACCTCGGTCTGATATTTCTCAGTTAAGACCTTACGCTTGGTTGTAATAATGGCTTAGTAATTTGGATGAGAGTTTACATCCAGGTATTTAGTTTACATGTCTGGCCTACTTTCCTAGTGTGGCACATAGAGTATATCATAGGCTTAATTATTATTATCTCGGAATTTCCAGTCATTATATATACTGTCAATGCATTGCATTTCTTCTATTTTCTTCCGAGAAAGCGTTCCTGTCATTTTTTACCAAAGCGATTTATTTTGTTTTTCCAGGAACACTTCTTGACAAGTGGAAGCCCTGTTAGTAGTTGCTCTTGTCCAATGATAATGCTTTCCATTTTTTTTGTACAAATCGCTTTCAAATAGAATCAATGGAGCAGAAGTGAATAATCATATGAATATTCACCCACTCCTTAATTAGTGATGAACTTACGCCTGAGAAGATGTAGTGCTTTTAAAGAAAACTCTTTCCAGTTTTTAAAAAAAGGTGGTTTGTAATAGTCAATTCCCAATGATTTTAAGCTGAAAAGATTTGAGAAAAGTATTTACATTTACTATGTAGTAAGTGTTAAGTGTTAGTTGGGTGTTAGTAAACTGTCAAAAGTATGAACGCGCTAACCCCCAAAATACGATTCTGCATGTTCCCAAACAACCCTACGGTCACAGGAACTCTATCCAAAAATGCACTGTTGGATATTCATCTAAAGTAAAGTTTATTGCTTAAACATGGAGCCGAGCCTTGGTTGTAAAGTATTTTGTTGAATGAAGCCCTCTGAACAAATTTGACTAAGTTAACTGTTTTTTAGTTGGTTTTATTTATCTCAAGAAAAATGAATTTTTGTCCGTTTTGATGGTTTTTGGAATAAAAATAATTAAATAGGAATATCAAACCATACTTTGACTTTTTATTGATATAATAAACACACATTCAACGTACATAGTTATAGTAGCTAGCTTGTATCATAAAAATTGAACAAAACAGACATATTCGAGTGTGGGTCCTCTCCAAATTACTGAATTAGCTACGCCACTTATATATTCAATATTGTCTGCACGTTTGAATGATATAGAAAAATCGGGTGAACAAAGTCGAAAAAGACTGTAACGAATTTGTTAGTGACATTTAAACTGCTAGAAAAGGAATAAAAATTAATTATTCTCCATAAAAGTAATGTTATCAACTACATATAATTGTCTCTTATATTTGAATATATGCATGCAAATTATTATTTATATACTTTTAATGCAATTCACTACTATTAACTTTAATATTTACTTTTAAGTTCAATCACATTGGCGTGAACCAGAAAAACTTCAATCAAAATGTCATAAAGTTTTTTCTTAAGTTAATACCTAAAATCTGCTTGATACGTAATATCAACTACGAGATGAATGAGTAAAACTAATAACGTAATTCGTATGGTTCTAAAAAACCTGCTATAGATTGCCATCTACCTTAGTTATATGTTCTTTCTATAATTCGTCTCTCTATATTCTAAATATGCATAAACATAGACAGAACTGAAACTGTCCAAAAAAGCAAAATGTCTTCAATGCACCTCTTCATAAGCTGATTCTTTATCATTTTTAACTTTATTCTTTATATTCACCACCAAAGACTGGTAGTTATTTTGTGTATCGACTTTCGCATCGTCCAGGCTTTGATATGTTGTATCAAACATATCGCCTTTTGCCGTCGATGATTTGTATCTTTCCTCTTTTTTCATTTTCGATAAATCTACTTCTTCATATAAAGCATCAGTGGTTTGGCTTTTCTTCTTTTTTGAAGCAGATTGAAGATGCTTATGTAACCATCTTCGACGATAACGCACAAAGATCAAAAAAGAAAGAAAAATTCCAAAAATTATCCATAAAATCATCGCCACTAGAATAAAGTACCAATTCTTTGATAGAAACGAAATCCCTAAAACAAAACAGTGAAAGAAATTAAAGACCTTAAATTTAACGTGATCGTCTTAGAGAGTGTACATAAATGCATACCAAGTTATCAAGAAGATCGCAATTTTTTACAAATTATTTCATCAATGCAAGTCAAGCGATTTGGTACAATATTTATTTGAAGATATTATGCTTGAGAAACTTACGTCAAAGTGCATATGAGATAAAAAAGTATTGCTTCTATTCCTTTGTTCTACACCATCTTTTAAGCTCAATATTCATTGGAAAATATGCAGTGCACATATACATATCACGTCATACGAACGTGTTCTTTTCATAACACCAGCATGTATGAATTGTTAAAAAGCGCTTTTAATTTAGTTATGCGATTTTTCAGTCTATGATTTGGAAAGTATACTCTTATTTTTCGTCATAATTTGATTCAGCTTTGTAATTAAGTGCATAGACCTAAACTTTTTGACAATATTGTTGTCTACAAAGCTCATGCACATTATTTGTTTGTCATAATAATCGAAAGAATTGAAAAATCTCTACTAATCCGAGAGAATAACAGCCAGCCAGCTTGAACTGATTAGTTTTCCAAAAAAGTAGCACAGCTTCTAAACAAAGTGGTGTTGCTAATTTGGGCTGTATAATTTTGATGTAAGATAAGCAGTTTTGAAGCCAAATTTGCTGAAAGCGTTTTTTACCATTTATACTACAATGTGGGTTTGCCTTCTTTTTCATCTTGCCGATTTCCATAGATGAGGTGCCATTTGTAAGATATCCTGTTTCAACAGTCTTGATGTACGTTACTGGAGTCGTACTGCTTACTGGAAACAAATAAATAGTAATTCAAAATAAGTAAGATGAAATTTAAATTTTTACGAAATGAATTTTATGATATAATTGCACGAGCTGATTGATGTGATTCGGTAACAGAGCTAATTTGAAGTAAACATGCTATAATTGTAATACACTGGTAGTACATGTCACAATATCAACAGTAAAAGCATTCAATTGATCCTAGATATGCGCCGCTCAAGATTTCATCAGGCATATATTATACACAAACTTGCAAGAAAACAAGTTCCTTTGAAAATGCCTCAAGACAAAAACGAATCATTAGTTACAGTTGATTTTCTTTGGATATATAAATATTTTAATGGCTTTTTTACGCATTATTTGCAAGGCAATAACATTCGTTCAAAGATTACGATTCTCATCTCGTAACTTAATCTTAAACACTCGTATGCTTAAAACATTACACTCGATTTCCATACCTAAAGTTGGTGTCTTGCAAGTGTAATAAACAAGCAGTGTTGTGTTTTTATTGCATTTAGATGCCTTTGATAGGAATTCATCTTTGTATACTGTAAACGAACATTTACTCCTTCCGTTGCACTTCTTTTGCAAAACACTCAACGCCGACATTGAAAGACAGTCTTTTATCCTCGAGGATATCTTATATGGTTTTCTATCCATTAAAACACCATATTCAGCTGATCGGACTTTGATGACCGAACTAGAACACGATTCACTACAATGAATGGTTAAATTTTCTCCCTGCTGAAACTTCCTTTCGTAAACTGCAACGAAAAGTTACATCAGCAACTATAAAAATATCTACTTTGGAGATGTTTTAAAGAAAACTACAAAATTAAAATTGCGCAGTTTACTACATTGCTGCGTGAAATACTTAAATAAAAGCAAAGAAAAAATTATTTACATATTATTAATTTTTTTATCTTATCTGAAATATATTTCAAAATACTTCTCTGTAGAGCGTGTTAATCATGGTTAATGAAAACTACAAGCCTTCCATCGTCCTTATATACGAAATGTTAAAAGCACGCTTTTTGAACTACCAAGCTTATAATCGTCATTTTCTATGGAAAGCGCGCCCTTCAGAACAGTGTTTAACTTTCTCAACAGACCGAATCTTTGTTTTATAATTCTTGCAGCCTTTTATGTATAAATTCTGGATCTTTTCTAGCAAAGTTTTAAAGCAGCATTTTTAAATTTCTTAGAAACACAATTTGTTGATTTAATTGCTGCTGTAATCGTCATTTAACTTTAATAAAAGTAATATTTTGAATTTTCAATACAAAATACCATCCTCTGAAGGATTTTAAATTAAATGCGTTAATCGTCGTTTGAATCCATCACTGTTTGCTATTTTTCCTGCACTTAAGAATGTGGTCTGTGATTCTAGTAATGAATCCTGAAATGGAGGCTTATTCAAAAATTCTTCAAAAATTTTGGGAAATATTAAATGATTTGTAAAAAACTTGGTCATGTGACTTACCATAGATAAATTTGCACGAATTATTTACGTTGCAGGTATCGTAGTTGATAAAGACTTCTTCATTTACTTGAGGCTCCCATTTATTACTGATCACTAATGAACCACCAATGCATAATTTGTACGGTGAATTTCCATTGTAGAACTCTAAATTTCCATTTGTTGTTTGTCGATATCTTCCAAATATTCCACCACAATATTTGCTGTTTATTAGTATAAGTTCAACATTTTCCCCTGGTTTATAATCCTCCGTGCTATGATTAGAATTAGTAGAATCATACAAGTATTGTATTGAAAATGCTTTAAGTTGATTGGTTACTCTACTCGCTATCTACTTTTGGATAGATAATGAGTAGCGAAAAAACATGGCTGCAAACTAGCTTGCGTTTCATTCAGTTATCTGAGTATGAACATGACAAAAAGGCAATCTTACAGAAGACTAAAGTTGCCACAAAATGCAAAGTTAAGATATTTAAAGGTATAATAAGCAAAAATTCAGTTAACTACAATTACTAAATTTACATTCGGCAAGATGTCGCAACAACATATTGATATAACAAGTAATTACAAAAAACTATAGCAACGCTTTTCTTTATGAATATTTTGTAAAAATATTCAATTGACTTCTGTGATATGATGCAAATTAGCACAGATATTTACAGTTCTCGGAAAATTTAGCTCATGAACTAAGGTTATTATATTAACGAAATGTTTCATAAATTTAATGAAAAAAACACGAGCTTAATTGTGTTTGCCTATTTAATACACACGTAGCAATTAATGGTGTGTGTTAAAAATATTGTATAAATTCAACGTGTGATTTGATCAATCACAAATAATTTGTTGAAAGAACTATCATGAAGGGAAAATACAGCAAGGTACGACTTTGGAAAAAACAGAAATTTAGAAAAATGTACCATCTTTAAATGTAATGAAGAACAAGAGGTCTTCCTTTTAAAAGTCATTGCATCGATCTTAAATTTAAAGTTATTTATGAAAGCTTCAAAGCCTTGTTTGCAACGTTCATTTTCATTTTTACACAGTACAGCACATTTTTAATCATTATTAAGCCATACTGATTGTCAATAACTGGAAAAATGGGCGAAACATGTGCATCATAACGCATTCTGATGAATAACCTTTTAAAAACACGGGCGCTGATAACTCTATAAAGCACAAGTCTTTAGTCACGCAAAAAACCTCACTGGTTCTGTCTTTTTCACGTGTAATTTTAATTTCGAATACATGAAAAATATGTTATTAAAATCGATAAATTTATCTTTTTAAGTTACTTTTATTGAAATATGGAAACACTTTTTAAAGTTGGGGAGGTATTCGGAATTGTTTAGAAACACTCGCACTTCATGCTCATATGCTAGCATTAATATATACTTCAGGCAATGCTGAACTGCCGAAAAGAGAACTTATGTATAGCTACTGCTTTAGGGCGCAAAAAGTCAGTAGTTGAAACATCAATGGAATTAAAAGAACATATTAAAAAACAATTAAAAAACAATTAAAAAACAGTTAAAAAACATATACGCGTTTGATTTATCCACCTATTGTGAGCAATGAGCTAGCCATGTTCAACGGAATCAGTAAATTTTAAATTAACTCACACAAATGGTAAGAAACATTTTCCTGTCGCCAGATGGTGTGGTGGATAGTCATATGACATGAGAAAGAAAGCATTTCTTGAAGTGCAGTCCCGTGACCAAATGAGACTGCTTGCATCTTTCACATTGACGCAGAGTCCGTTTCCGTGTTGGATGGGACTATTATCTAAGAAAAGAGCTACTGCATCAATCTTACTTTAGTCAGTCTTAAAAGTACTCCACGTTAAAAATGTTGTATCGTATTTCTATGTGCATATAACAGATATAATAAAATGAGACACATATTTTGTATTTTGCATTTATAAATCCACACTTTTTGCCATTAGTAACAATCGTTATTCAACATATCAAACAAACACATTTTTATCACCTCTCTCTTTAAAATAGCAGGGAGGATAAACTGTGTGGTTGAAGCAACACGTTTTTGGACATTCATCTTGCTGTTTCACTTTATTTCCGCATTCCAACAGTTTCCCTTCCGTAACATCACATAATAAACCTGTAAAAGGCTGATCTGTTTGTAATTCACTACAATCTTTGAATATATATGATACATCTGCCAGAAAGCAGCACGTTTTTCAAAGAAATCTAGCTATAGAAGGATGTGTAGGATTTCAATAGATTGCGTCCAGTTTTACAGTTTAACGTACTGTATCTTCCAGAACCATGCATCTCAGTAAGCAACTATTCATTATAACGAGGAAAATTATTATCTTATGTTGCAAGAATACTAACTTCATGCTAAATGACTTTTTCCCGATTTCATTTGTTTGGAATCGTGCAATTTACGTGCACTATCAAAGGAGACAAAAAAATTATTACACATTAAAAATTATAAAGATTTTGCCGTTCCTACACGTTGTGTTTGAAATCCATATTTAGCTACCAGTCAATGCGGAAGTAAGTATTTCAAAGTTTATGTAGTTAAATAACTATAACTTATTGCATTGTACAATAAACGTGCAAAGAAACAAACCACTGTGTAAGTATAATGCACTCATGGAAAACAAAAAGTAAACTTCAAAAATTTCAAAATGAAATCTTTGACCAACCTTCTGCAAATTGAATTATGCCGATCAAGAAGAAAACGTGTCGGAGAAATTTCAAGAAACACATCACTTTTCCACTAATCTCCAAGCCTGTATCACGGGCTGTAGAACATGAACTGTGCGTCGTTGACTCTGAAATCAAAAAGACTTAAAAGCGTTTATCTGACGGTTTATCCAGCGCAGTTTGATGAATACGCTTTTCTTGCTTTGTGCATGCAGTGCTAATTAAAATGTTATGAACAGTTGCTCATCACCAACAAAATAGGCCAATATTTGAGGGTAGCATATCATTTATATGATAGATGTCAACTCACTTTGGCACAATTATCAGTAAAAAATTAAGAAAAATCATTCTTTAATCCTGTCAATATTCTGTTGTCTTGACCAAACTATTCACACTCTTATAACGAAAATGATAGGTTTTTCATGATATTTTTTGACATATTCATACGTTGTGTGCAAGTGAATATTCTTGAAAATGAATACGCAACAAGGAATCGAACAAGCAAACATATAAATCACAAAATATATTGTCATTGTCATCTTTTCACAAAGCGCCAATCAGTGTTTAAGTGCTTATCTCTTAAATTAGTCAAGATACGCTTCTTGACAAATATAAGAGATAAGACTTCGAAAAGCGCCTGTCTTTTATATTAGTGAAGATACATTGCACAGGAATAATTCGTGACTTGCAATTCAGCCATGTTGATGGTCTGATACAAAAGAATATTTTATAAAAGTGTTATTGTTGGCACCTGCCGACGAGGGCGAGCAACATTGTTTGCCAAATCTCAAAAGAATGGTTGCAAGTCAGGAATGATGACATTAATGCACATATGCAGTCTAACAGCAGATTTTAACTCGTATAAGTGAAGTTTTATACTCAGCATTAGCACCTAAAATAAGGCTGATGTTGCAAAAAACAGTTGTGCTTGATTAGTTAAAGTATCGTGTTAAAATGCAAAATAGTTTGCAACCTCATTATATATCAAATTTTGTATCGTGTAGGTGCAAGTTCTCACCCATCCTATATAATTTAAATGTCCACAATAACTTGTATTATTTATGTAAATGTTTGGAACCGTGGTTAGATATTCTTCAGATATTCTTCGAATGGAAAATCTTTCATCTTCCTGAAGCGGATTAGAACATCGAATTTGCTATTCATCTTCGGTTATTATCTTCCTGACCTCACAATGTTCTGACATTTCTATCACGAGATTATCTTTTCCTGCATTTAGAAAGCCAAGATTTTTGTGAATATTTTTGAGTGAATGTATACAAGAGACACGTATTTCAATTTTTGGTTGGTTTTTAATAACTAGCTAATTGACGATGTTTTGTTTAACGTCAGCCATGTTAAATGTTGCATTGTGAACACAAAAAATATGGAGGGTTAGTCTCAAAATTTGATTCAACTGAGGCAAACTTACCAATACGAAGTATTAGGAAGAAGCAAACAAACTTGTCTTGCTCTCCGTTCCCCCCTCCCCCAAATTGAATCTTAATAACAAGTGCAAACTTGATTTCATCAGTGAATCCTATTAATTAAGACGTCGAACTTTTAAAGTTGAATTTTCCAACACACAAATCTAAAGAGGAGCTCTTTCAACAATGTCAAGAGCACTTATAAACAACGTGCTCAGCGTTTGTCTTTCGCTTTGAACAGTCCATCATTCCCAAGAGTTCTAAACCACTCTACATTTAAACATCAACTAATATCAAGACTTTTTCGTTTTCTGTAGAGGTTTACCAAGACTAAGCGACAACGGCATCAAAATTATTTTAATTGGTTCTTCTTTCGTGGACTACGGTGAAGCAATTTCCATCAACTTAAATGCGCGAATTTCAATGCTTAGGTCACATATTAGCAGTGGCGGATCCAGACTACGTCAAAATAAATTACTGCAGCACATTTTGGCGTATATTTACATTTCTAAACAGCTTAGAGGGTAATCTATTGGTAAAATTATATTCTTTAGAAATTAAAAACCAATAGAGTTTTTCTGAATGTAATTTCAATGTAAAAGTGAGTAGCTATAATTTATTTTGACGTATGTCAAATAAATATATATGCATATTAGGTTTGTTATTTTTGTTAAATCCTTTTTTTCGATCGTGCTTGTACTTATTTCACTGATGTCAACAATATTCGAGAAATGCATTACAATATTCGAGAAAACTAAAAACCTTTAACTACTGTATAAAATTCACGGTTACTAGCAACCTCTTTGACAATGTGGTATTATCGGGGTAATTGTTTAAAGCATGAAATTGTTCATAATATATTTAGTTGATTAGTGCAAGTAGCATTCATCTCTAATATGTTGGCTGGACTAACGACATCCTTAGTTAGATCGTACCTTCACCAGGCATTCAAGTCTTGTCCTTAGTACTGTAAACATCAATTTCATTAATAACTTTTATTGCTGCTGTGTAATTGATATAAAAGTATGCAATGATATATAGGTGGATTTCATGTTACGTCATGGGCACCATATTGGTGGTAAAATACAAAATAATATTTTATTAATGCTGTTGTTGGCACCCGCGGGCGTGGTGTTTTGCAATCCAAGAATACGAATATGATAGCAGTTGGGCTATCGTATTCTTAGGCCTGTTTCAAACGTCGAACTAATGTCGAATTTAATTAAGACGAATTTAATTGAAAGAATTAAATTCGACGATAGCGCGTCATATGAGACCAAATAAATTCATCATCTTAATTATTTTCGTCAAAGACGCTAGACGGATACAACGTCTGTTGCACGTCTTCATTTCAAACGACGATGTACTGTCGCGTTTAATTAAATGCATAAATTATGCTAAAATGTAATTCTGAACCACTGTTTTTGCAACTGGAACCTACTAGGCATGCGTGATACATTCACAAAGGAAATTATTTACGCGAAACAAGTATGGTCACAGAATATGTATCTTAACAGAAGGTCCACTCGTGTTCCTTACTTTCCTGAAACAAATTTTAAAGCAGACACAACTTCCAGCAGATCGTAATAGAAAATATAGATGTTTTTACAAATATATTGTTTTGCACTACAAAAGCTTGAAGCCTTATCTTCTTCACAAGACGATAACTCTCTGTAAACTTTCGGCAAACTTTTCCTTTAAGCGTGAATTATTAGTAAAATAGCATTCTTGTGCAATACAATTCCATATTGAATTTGCAAAAGTATCTTGCTGGGGAAGTCACGCATGCTTAATGAAAAAATACGCCATGATTTTAGCCGAGTGCGCCATCTGTTAGATGTCTATTCTGTGGTTTGGTTGTGTTATTTTATAAGCGCTATGTCTTTCAAAAAATTGTGCCAAAATCACGAAATATCAATGTATTTTGTGTGCCAAGAACGTTGGACTGATTCCCTTTGATTTTCCAAAATTGCTAACAACAATAATACAGTCGAACAAACACGAGCCAGATATTCTCTTCGCTTTGCGAGTGAAGCAATACTAGCTTGGTGAATTTTCTTCCTTTTCTCTCTCCCTTTATTTTAAAAGAATCACCCTCCTGATATTATGAACAATTTACTAGATGAGCGCGCCATTACACGCGCCCGTCTCCTGCTGTTTACTGCTTACATTAATTAAATTCGTCGTTTAAAATGAACAACCATCAACACGACTTAAAGACGAATTAAATAGCGCATTAAATTCGTCTGAATTAACTCCGACGTTTGAAACAGACCTAATTAACTTTGTCGAATATAATTTATGAGATGTAAGTTTCCAAGTTATACGTTGCAGTATGGTCGAATAAAATTGGGATATTTGAATTCGTGTGAATTAAATTCGTCCGTATAGCGCAGGCGTTAATGAAAGTATTCATGTACTTGGTATATGCATATTTATAAGTATATTTACTTTAAATAATAATTCATATAAGCTCAAGGGATTTCACGGTGTATTAGTTAACGCAAGACAACCTATTTACTAAACAGGAACTTTATTGTTATGATTCTATACATGCATAATCAATTAATTAATGTTTCATACATTAACCCTACCAACAATACTTCATGTCGCAATTAACAAAAGCAAAAAGTAAAACTATGTTTATGAAAATACTACAGACAATAAAGCAATATAGAAATAAGTAATCAAGAATCATTTATCCGTAAAAAGTTTCCTAGTACAGTTAAATTTCGGTAAATGAAAAAATACCAAACAGCACTAATAAACCAAAATGCAATGACAGTAAAACTAAAATAGATCATTCCCGTGCGTGTAAACACTAAACTCATTGATAAACGAGTTAGAGCAAATGCAAAATTCATAGCTGCGACGGAACAGCCTTGAAAGAATCCCGCATTCCTTGGATCGGTGATTCTTGACAGTAACGAACAACATTGTGAAAGTATTAAGAAGGGGGAGCCTAGCAGCATATAAAACAATAATATATAATATTGAGAGAAATAGGAGTGATCCCAACTTAAAACCAGACGGATTAACAGCGACAGAGCGATCATCTGAAGTACAACGAAGAACACGACAATATTTCGCTCTTTAAAATAACCTGAACAAATGTTAGTTGCTAAGAAAAGGCCTAAGTTCAAAAGTGCGCTATCGAGAAAATATAGCTTGACGTGAATGAGTTGTAAATGAAAAACATCTTAAGCAAAACGTGGTGTTGAAAAGAATGATATGCTTGAGAAAGCTTCGCTGCAAAATATTAAATAGAACAAACATAGTACATTGGAATTACAATCATCCCATATTTTGGCAGCTTTTTTCTCATGATCTTTATGATCATTCAGTGTTACTAACTCTTCCATTGTTAAGTCGACTTCCACCCGGTCCGATTTTACGTTAAATTTTTTGGAGATAAAAACCGACCAAACAAGAATAATACACCATACGCAACACAATATAAATCCAGGGGAGTTGCCAGCGTTTATCTTCCAACCAAATATATTCGCGTTAAATACAACAAAGCTTCCAATTGCAGGTCCGAGTGTTGTCCCTAAACAATAAACTCAATCAAGACCTACAAATATACCAGCTCGTCTCTCTTCTGAAATGTTCAGAACAACCAGACGTAAAAGCAAGCCGTGAGAAGCTTGTCCCATTCCACACAAGGTTCGTCCAGCCAATGGGAATGCTGCATTTATATTAATAGAGTAAAACAAGTTACCCAATACCTTTAATGAAATGCACACGATCATCAATAGATCGACCCGACCAAACCGATCTGCAATACGTCCGATCAATGGTAGCATGAAAAGTGAACTTACATTGTACGATATTACAACTATACCCATGTATTGCTCGGTTTGCCCTAGAGATTTTACATAATACAACACTGTTGGCATGATAAAGTAATTTTCACATCCTTCAATCAACATTCGCATCGCAGTAAAAGCAAGCAGGGTGAGATCAAGTCCTTGTTTTTGACTCATTATTGAACATTTATAAAAAATTTAAAAATTCGTTTGGTAAACTGAAAAGTTTATTCAAGTCAACAATTACCAATGCGACAGCGAACGATAGCAACCTTTAACGATTCATTTTAATTGTTATGAAATACATGGCCAACATGCGATCCACATCAAATTGCTCGTCTTTTTTTCTTCTCTTTATAGATTAGAAATGTATATTGAAGATTCCCTTTGAGATTATTTGTTATTTCTGCCTTTTTATAATTTCAACGTGTATATGACACATCATCTAAACGTATTATCTTGTATAAGTGTTCACCATGATCAACCAACCGAAAATATGCTCTTGTAAAACGACAATAGTGAAATAGTTGCTTTAGATACTTAACATTATGTGAGAAAGCATAGTTTCTTGTAAAATATTGGATAGGAGAAGCGAGAAAACATCACAAAATAGTAATAAACGCAGTAAGGTTTGACTATAAGTATAAATTAATATGGAGAAACTGTTTCGAAAATGGTCATTAATATAATTGATTGCCTTACAATTGATTCATACTGACAGGAAATTGAATAAATTTAAAATTATCAGCAATTTAAATCATCGACAACATGCACGACTGACTTTTCGATGAGCTGATATCTACTTTAAAATTTCATATTTGAAAAAGTTTCGCTCTGCAACTATGAAGATATCGGATTATGCGTTTTGCAAATTTACTTTTTGAGTTAAACTGCCATGTAAAAAAACGATGTTTCAAGTCTTTCGAATAAGGTTCGCTTCTTATCGCAGCACAGCCACATACCCACATCCACACATCAGTCGGCCTGGCTAAAGTATACAGTATTTAAATGTATAACGCGCATGTGTGGCTTCATGGGTGCATGCTGAACTTATTGATGTCTCATCTATTAAATTATTTGTTACATTGATGTATGCTTCAAATAGTTTTATTATTGACGCTACCCAGCCAGCAGCATGCATGTTTAAGCAAAATATACTGCGCCAATATTTTTTTGGTGCGTTGCTTTCTTTTTGTTATAATGTTATGCTAGAACGTATTATCAGTCTACAAGAACTATATGAGAGCTACGAGTAGTCCTTTCCTAGAGTAAAGAACGTTACCAAATACCTTCATTGCAATACACATGATAATCAAAAGAATAATCAACCCGTCCAAAGCGGTCAGCAACACGTCCGCTCAATGGTGACATTAGGAGAAAATCGGCGTTGTACGATATTATAACTGAAGCCACGTATTGCTCTGTTTGTCCTGATGACTTGAAATAATACAACAGTGTTGGCATTATATAGTAACTTTCACATCCCTCAAACAACAAGTGCATCGTAATAAATAAAAGCAGATTGATATATAGTCCTTCTTGTTTACTTTTCATTGACATAAAACTTCAGTCCTGTACTAATATTAAATCAAAAAATTTTCTTCAAGTCAACAAGTACCAATGATGGCAAACAACAGAAAAACTGCATGGCTCATCATGTTCTGACATGACTCATATTAGATTCACAACAATTTAATGGTCCCCTTTTTTGCTTTTATATTAGATATTCGCATTGAAGCTTTCTTTAATATAACCGCATTTCTAAATGTTACCTTATATTACACATCATCTACACTGACTGATCAACTTGTGTGTGTTCAAGATGATCAACCAACCCGAAAGTTGTCTAGTGCATATCAACAATAGTATACAACAAGCAAAAATAATCCCAGAGACGTTTCATTATTCTAAAGAGAAATCGTGATTTCTTTTGCAATATTAGGTAGAAAAGAGCTAAGGAAAATCAAAAAATGAAAGCAAATACGGTAATCTTTAACATAAATAACGAAAAAGTGTCTATGTCATTTGCATAACGGTTACTTATAGAATAGACTCATGTTGGTAGGAAATTGAATAAACTTGAGGTAAATAACAGTATAAAGAATTGACGACATGATTGACTTTTAGATAAGTCAATATCTAATTTGAAATATCATGTCAAGCAACAATCTAGTTTGCTTTAAAAAGTGATGTTGGTGTATACGTCTTTTGTCGTATATTAGGTTTTTCAAAACTCTATGTAAATCAAAATTACAAGTTCTGTCTTCAAACTTTTCCGTCAACATGTTCCACAGCATCGAAATTGCTAAAACTTCACATCTCCTTTTGAACTAAGCTAGGGTCTCTGCTGATAGCTGCTTGATTGATAACAAGATATAAAAACACGTATAAATCAAACAAATGCAAAAAACTATCATTATCTGTGAATATGTTGCCGCCGTGAGCATGATTCGCTTAGCTATACAATCTACATGTCATCTGACCGATCAGCATGGCTCAACACGTACAATGTTTGCTTGGTTGTGTGTATTTTTTGTTGATTTCTGTTAATTTTCGCGTACGTGATGGACTCGTACTTGTTATTTGCATGAAAAGGTACGTCATAGAAGGCAATAATTATCAGTATCAGCCTTACTTTTTAACTATTTGGTTATTTATTTAGACCTAGATGGCTTTCACTAGTGAGGTTTATGTAGAAGTATTATTATCGTAAAAAATGTTATGCTTTATTTTGCCTGCATGCTTACGGAATGATTTTGAATTCCACGTTTTCTCAAAAGTTTTGCAATGTCTTTTTATAAGAAGGAAACTTTGTAACTAAGCTAATTCTTGCCGAATATCTCCATTGTCAATCGTTTAAGCTTTGAGCTTGTAATACCTTTCGTCGTGATAATAAATCGGTCATACAAAAATAATCTATAGAAAATTACAATGTGAACATCATTATCTTGAATGAAGAACATAAGGAAATACATTCAGAATGACAAATGAAAAGCATTACCTGACATATAGCAGATATTATAATCAAACAGAATGAAAAAATTACGACTAATAACACATATAACAGCTACTTATTTACAAGCCCATTCTGATCATCTGAAAAATTTGCTAAGTTGAGCTTTCACACAAACCGAACGCTATCTTCTTTTCTGTTTGATTTACTTGACAACGAAATGGCGGAGTAAATTCACTCGCATCACTTTCGTCAAGACACTTTACAAAATAAACTTCATGCGCAATATTTCCACTTGAACACCAGAGACAACACTTACATTGCAAACCCCACGCTATAGCAAAGATATAAAACTTATAGTTGCGCATAATTAAGCCATTGAAAGTACTAAGAATGTCCATTTAAAATGAAGAAAATAGAACCATTAGAGTAGAAACTATTAAAAAATTATTAAATTTTCAATTTAACTCCAAATAATATAACTGTCATTGCAGCTTTTCTTTTCCACAAGTTTTCGTAAATGAGTTTGGTAAAATGTGCCCAGTTTAAAAAGCAAAAAGTCGTGATGAGACTATAATCCAAAGGTAAGTAAACATACAATCAAAATGTAAACATACAATCAAAGAATAAACATGCAATCAAACAGTCTTCAATGACGAAACCAAATGAGAAGAACACGTACCACTTTCTTCCTTTGTTCCTTTTTTTGCTTTATTTAATACCTAATTCTTTAATCACTCTATTCAATTGTCAAGCAATACACAAAATATTCATACCTGATTTTGATTGATATTTTTCAAGCGATCCGCTACATCTAAAAGACTTCAATAAGAAATTTATTCTGTAATCTAAACAAGCAATTTCTCTATCTATCACTACTCTTGCTTCACGCTAAAGGGCTGGAAGGAACCAAAGAGATCTAAGAAATCTTTTTAAAGAAGAATTTACTATCAAAATGTAGTATTTTTTGAAACAATATTAAGACATCATGTCATTTTTAGCTTAGTTTTACTTTACTTTTATTCCTAATGCATTTATTTTTACGTCAATTATCAATTACGAATATCCTGTACTTTGTAGCTAGTTAGCAAAGCCTTACCAAAGCCTTGTTATAACTTTATTGCACTACTAGTATAATATTATTACATTCTTGTAAAACTCTTATTATTTTTTTATTACACTCTGCTGCAAGCAATCTCATTTCCTGCTCTGAAGAATGAAGAATGTGAAATTTTCTGCGTTTTTGGTGGTTTCCCCTCGACATCTGTCTTTTTGGCAGAAGTTTGAGCACTATCTGTATTTCCTAGTATTGAAAAGGAAACAATGTTGAAAAAATTGAAAAAATTTAAAGTTTTTTTATGTTAACTGATTTAACGAAGATACGTTCTTGACAAATCCACGTCAAAATAAGGAATAATCTCGGTGCTCTTGCAACACATACTGAGTATCATGAATTAAGGATGTGGAGAGTTGTAATGATCATATCAAAGAATTGGGAGAATTTATTGATATTCAACAAACAAGCACACGATACTATATCTTCAGAAAACAACCTGTAGAGATTTAGAAAAATATGATTTCTTATCAAAACCTTTTAACTTTAAAAGACATTCGAAAACCGGTTGTAATAAACAGGAAGATATTACCTTGTTTTTGTGACTGAAGATCTAGGAGAGGATATTCATCACAACAAACTTCACTTTGCTCATTTTTTTCCTTTACCCCACCTTTTGTCATGTCATGACTTGTCTCAGAACCAAGAGATTTTGCTTGATGACAGGAAGCTAACCGCAAAACAGTTCCCATAAATAAAAATAAGAATTTGTTTAAAATAATTATAGAAGATCAATAACCTATGCTTACTGAATTGAGTGCTCATTTGAATTCCAATTGTAGCACACTCTTTGTCATTTATAAGTTAAATGAAAGATATTTTCTAATAAACGATTAAGCTGTTGATAATAGTTTATGTTTTAAATTGTTAGAGACGGGATTACCAACCTCTATAAATACAAAACACTAATAAAAATATATTCTTTAAATCCCTAAGTGAACGTCAAAGCATGCATTTCACAGTCTATTATCGAAAAATATAGGTTTTGTAAAATGGGTGCTCTCTTTTTATCATTTCTCCCTGCACTATTTATTTTAACAAACGAAAACTTTAAAACAATTAATTTTTATTGTTTGAACAAAATTATAATGAAAATTGATTAATTGTGTTTAACAAACCATTTGGCAAGTCCGTTGATTTCTTTCCACCAAGTTTTGAAGAGAAAATACTTTGCAAACTGTTTCCAACTGCGTCTCGCATCTGGAATAGGGATTAATAATTTCTTAATAACTGTTAACTCCTAAAAATTACATGTCTGAGCATTCTCACATGACCTGCTTGTTCAATACACAGTGAAAGAGGAATATAAGCCATCCTTGAGCGGAGTTAAATATAGCAAAAAGATAACGGAAGAATACAGTCTCTCCGTCTATAGCCATCAACCCAAACACCCATGTCAAACCAAGTACGGGTAAAATAACAACCGTAGCTCTTAAACCTGTCTTTATTTTCTCGACGTTCTCCTGTTGTCTGACTATGTGTGCGTTCATTACCTTTCTGATAACCATAGTGAGAACGATAAAATTGACCTGAATGTATAAAACAAAAGTTAATATCCATATATTTTCTAATTTATACAGAAAAATTTTTTTACTGTCGGTTTCAGAGATACAAAGGCAAACGTTTAACAATAACTGTGTGATTGACAGGAATGGATGTTACAGCTAGGCCTTTACAAGTGCCACATTTTTCACGAACTTTAATGATAGAGGTATAATAAAACCAAATATGATAAAGTTGTTCCTCAAACCTTAATTTAAACTGAAATATAAGACATTAACTTTTAATTAAATCTTGTATTGATATTTTTTAAATGTGTCCATGAGGCGTATAGTTCAGAGAATCACCTGTTTTAAACAGGTGATTCTAAGACAGTTTTTTAAATTTTGTTTACGAAGAAAATGCCTTTTTTTGCATTCAAATACATACAAAAGAAACACATTTACAACCCACCAGACTTCATTTAGTACGTTTCTGCATGCTCAATGCTAACTTACCAAAATTACAAAGCATGCTGGGACAATGAATGCCAAATTTAATTTATTTTCGATACTCAGCCAACAGTAAGAATTAGTTCCATATCCTTCGCTTTGTGTAACTCCAAGTGATATGGTAACTATGATCAGTGGAATACCTAGAAAAAACAGTTTTCGTCAGGGAATGTTTGAACTTTCGCCAAAGCGGAACACAAAAAGTCACTACCCCAGCCAATAATATTGAAGATCTTGATATGTTTGCCATGAATGCTATTGAAAATTCGAATGAGCAAGGTATAAAGTAAAATTCCCTCGCACAACATCCAGCCGAACGCTGACAGCAGGAAGAAATGTAAAAGGGCAGCAACTGCTTTACAGAAATCCTGTTAAAAACACATAGCTAATACTTTTTATATGTCAAGGCAATCGCTAATGACTGCAATGTTTTGTTGCAAGCAATAACATATTTCAACTTAAAAAGTCCAGACTGAAAAATATAGTATGGTAATATACTAAAAAATGTTTTTCCCTTTCATTACATAGATATATAACCTAAATGTTGATGAAGAGGAAAGGAATGAAAGATCGTAGATAATTCCTACAACAAGAATCGTGCGAACTAACTATATACTAGGCCTTGTAACACAATTGTATATAATAACAAACTAGTCATGTCAAGAGAGTGAGGTTGCACATTTACAAATGCTTTGGTTAAGTCTTTTTTATTGAAGTATTTTACTCGTCCAAATAAATACCGAATTTCTTCTGGCAACTCCTTCCAATATAGAAAAGATATCGGTAAAGCGAATCGCGATAGAAAGATTAATCAAAACTATACATCGTGGTGATTTCAAATATTTCCAGAAATACACGTGCATGATGAGTGTAAAAACTATACCAACAAGTGATACTGAACATCCAATGATTGAGATGTATTCTAAAGCTTTCAGATGACTTTTTGATGGCTACAAAGATACAATTGCAGCTTTCAATGTGTGTAGATCTCTTCGGCAAAAGTTGCTTGAACTTTAAAAAAAATCAAAATTTTTCTACTTTTCTCTTTTGAACAAAAGTTTATAAAGTCCTATGAGTTTCTATTTAAATCAATTGTGATTACAAATTGTATAGTTGAAATATATGAATATATCCCCTTTAGCCGCTCTTGTGATTCGTGAGACTTGTTTTTTTGTGTAATTTGCTATTTTGTGTGGTTTGCTATTTTCAAATCATTTCCACACCTGATGATTGTAATAGTAGTAAACTTTATTTAAACGCGATAACCTCAGTAGATTTTTACAATCCTGAGGTCGACAACAGTAAATATAAAATTATATACATACATATCAAAATACAAATTATATAATTTCAGTATGGTAAGAATTAACATCCATACACTTTCTCAATGAATTGTACAAATTTAGTATAGTTAAGGGTAAGATTATTTTCGTACATGCAAAATATACGTCGTCTCCAGGCTATAAACACAAACTAATGCCCATGAATTTTTTAAATACATGCATGTCAGGCACATGTTTTGCATATACATCAAGCATACCACTTGGTTCATGATCAATACGAATGACATTACCACGCATCATTAGTAAGCAATAAAACTATATGTTAGCCATACCTGTATATCTGAGGAATGCATCATTATTGCAAATGCTGTGTTATGATCACAATCACAAATAACCTGGTCCTCTGAGGATTCTTGTTCATTTAAATCACATCCTTCACGACTCCACTTGCTTTCCTTTACACTGGGTTCAATAAATACGCACATTCTTACAGGATCGACAAAACCACTCTATATCAATAAAAAAAAGCTCGCACCTTAAAACTCAATTCAAAAAGCAAATTCAAGCTGTTATAACAATAGCATTTTCTTCATCTCCAGATACCTGATTATTTTGAAGGAAAATTTTGATATCTTGAGAAACATGAAGAGATTTGGGTGTGGTAGAAAAAGAGATTATTGTGCTTTGGATATTGAAACTGGTGCTCGTCTGTATCGTGTTATCTACAGACTTTTGTAATTCTTCAGGAGATAAAATATCTTTGACTGACGAGTATTTCACAACAATTGCTTGTTTAATGCCATCGGCAACAATCCCACGAAACTTAACACCTTCTCCGCCTGAGTCGGTAAGATTTATATCTTCTAGCCGAACGTTTTGATTTTCAGGTAAATTTACACCAACTATTTGAATATTGGGGAGTAAAAGAACTTTTCTAGGTTTACCAGATGAAGCCACCAAATTCTTCGCGTTGATATCTACACCTTTGATGATTTCTGTCACCAGTGTGTTTCTATCCTAAAAAAAACAGTTCTCAGTGAAAGAATATTTCTTTGTATAAATATTGCTTTAGTTATAATATACATTTGTATGTGTTACATCACATTATACATGAATCTCTCTGATAAAATAGTATCCGATTAGAAAACAGTCAGGGTAATTTTAATTCCATTCTTATTTTCCAAGATTTAGAACAAGTAGATAATCATTTCATAAACTAAATTTTATCTTGTCCGTTCTGAATTACGTTTACAAAGTTGTTAACACCATTAGTCATCAATTAGACAAACTACTCCGTGTTCATGTTCATGTTAATAAAGCCAAACCATTTAAATGATTGACTAATAAACCAGAGCGTCAGACCATTTCTCATAACATCCAGAAATTACCAACTGATTACCAGTAATCTGCTAGCTCAATGGACCTGAGCACATAAGATGAGCAGACTATAAACTAAAATAGCTTATGGCATAAAGGCTTTTTCTAATTAAGCATTAAATGAACTATTGTGGTTGCCTTTGGAACTTAATTTTGCTGTTGTGACCATTATTTGTACTTGTTAATAGCAATTAAATGTAACATTCCTGAACATTTTGATAATTCACCAATGAACTCTAATGTCAATTTCACCACAAATGGGCATCATATATTTACGCTCTTGTAGATTTAAAACAGAATGCAGTAAATCTTTAACATTATAACGAGCAACAAATGAATAAATGGAATTTTCACCAAAATAGAAAATTGCATTTTACCATTGATTTTTACAGACATTTAACAGACTAATTTTCATGAGTAGTTTATAAATCTTAAAATATTTTATTATTTTAGTTACTATCTATTCAAATGTAATTTTAGTAGTTTAATATATTTATGATTATTATCATATTAATTAACTAATTCTTAACCTGCACCTACTCACGTCAATGAAGCCAAAACAGCCACATAATTAAATTGACGAACTTCAATGATTCTCTGTTTATATCATCTGGTGAGGCGAGAGTTTTACAAGTTATAAACTATTACCAAACGAGTAATGCACTGGCACTACTAAAAAATGTAGGATTCGACTACTCTCGGCCAAACTAAATCTTAAATTTACTTGTATATTTTCCCAGACTTCTTTACGTGACGTGGCAAAAATGTTACTTGACGATTGAATAAAATTCTTCTGATCATTTTGTGTCGCTGTTTTGGTCTGTGTAGTCTTCAAAATGAAAACAATGTCCCTGACGTCCTGTTCAAACAATTCACCGTCTTCAGTGACAACTTCCGTTTGTTGTATAATTTCACTAACGTTGTTGGACAAAAAACCTCCGTCCAGTCTTGAGATCTAAAATGGGTATATTTATAAGATTCATAAGGCTTAAGATTTTGAAGAGTTTGAAAAACTCACTTGGTCAACTAGATCAACAACAACTGCTGACCGACATTGCGACACATTAACATGATGCCATGTTGGACTTCCATCAACTTGCAAGCAAGACCGTGAAACGAATCCTTGAAATTGGACAAAGTAAGTAATCAGTATAAGAAAGACTATTTAGAATTTAAACTTAACTTTCTGGGTCAATTATAGCACATGAAAATAAACAAGAGTGTGTGGCAAACAAATTTGCTACGCTAAAGTTTATCTTCCTCAAACTCTAATCAAAACCAAAGGCGTTCTACAGAAAATGCTTTAAATCATATGACAAATACATTGCCCAAAGACAATTTATTTTTAATGCCAACAGACCTATCTGCTTGTCAAAACATTTTTTAACAACGGTGGATCCCACAGGTGTTCTTTCCCAATTATAACGACGAGCTGTCTCAGCAGAGCAATAGTCTTTATAACCTGCATTTCAAATGAATATTCATACAGCATTATATGGTATTGCACATAAAATAATAAATCACTTAAATAATAGTTCTTATATATTAGCCCATTATTTTATGATCAAAAAATATGGTTTATTAGTAAATTGAGTGAATGTTTAAGTCATCAAACTATGACAAAAATGTCATTTTCCTTTTTGCTCAATAATATCAATAAAAAGATCAATAAATTTTCTTCATAAAGTCAAGACTTTCAATCGACAATCTTTTTTTTTCATCTATATTGACTTACTTTAAGTAGGGAATTTATTTCATCAAAATGTTAAGTGAAAAATTAGTAGCGCAGTGTTTATTAGTTGTCTTAATTGCTCGTAAAAAACAAAACCAATCGACGTGTTATTTTTGAAATACCCACCTTTTGACACAACGAAAACGCTGACATTTTGACTTCGCCCTTTACCGTCTGAATTTGTAGCCGTACACCAGTATTTCTCTTGATAGCGATTGTTCGTCTTTAGTGCAATGCGATTGGTAAGATTTAGCTCTTTTCCCCAATACATAGACTCTGTCGGCTTAGAACTATTGAACCATAATATTTTTATATCTCTTCCTTCACCAACAACAACATGACACGTGAGTAAAATCAAATCACCTATGTAAGAAGAACCACACAAGAAGCAATGCTTTATTATATCATGACTATCCATGGAGACATGACTGAACTAACAAGAAATACATTTTCATAAATAAAGTGTTTAATGTGTGATATGTAAAGATATATGCGATCTATTTGGGAACATGTAACGTTACAGATCGCAGGAAAATAGATTAAGACACCGACACATCGTTCAAAAACTATTAAACATTTTGACCTAGAGAAGATTCCGTAAGACGCAAAATTTTTGTTAAATGAAATGATCTATTTGAAAGGTATTTACATTTGAACATCAAATGTAGGGGTACGCAAGATGTGATGTACTTAAATATTGTATTTAACTCTCAACAAAACAACTATTAAAAAGATTGCTTGGTTCATAGAATACCAGATTGACTGCCACATGGGCTGTAAAAATTATACCTTCTGTGGCAGATATTGAGAGGGGATAAACAGAAATAACAGGAGCAATTTTCACATTGATAGATACATTGCTAGTGATGCTCTCGGCGCCCTTCCTATTAAAATTTGAAAAGAGAAAAATCATAGATTAATATGATGCTTCGTGCGTTTCATGCAAAATATCATACATATTTGCAAATTACTTACCTTGCAGTGCAGAAGTAAACACCAGAATCAGATTTCATCGTTTTTCGAACAAACAACTTCGAAATTTTTCTATTTGTTTCAATCTTAACTCTCGTCGAACGTGACAGGATCAGACTGCCCATTTTCCACTTAAAAATTGGAAACAACGGACCACTAACCCAACATTTTATTTCTAGTAAATCACCTGCAAAACCTTTGTAGTTCACCTTCATGCGAATCAACGAGAAAATGACTAGAAGAAAAGCATTCATAAAAAAATTTGAAAAAGCCTAGTCATTGTTGATACAGTTTGCCCTTCCACTAACGTTTATATTAATTACTAGACATTTAAAGTGTACGACAATTTTTTTTTATAAAGTAAATGAGTTTCGGCATGTTTATGCCATCTCGGCCTGCCGAAACATGTTTACTTTAAAAAAAATCGTCGCATACTTGAAATGTCCAATATATATATAGTGCTTTTAAGAAATTATGGAATTAAAAGACACACAACAATATATAGAAACAATATAAAAAGGTTTATGAAATGTCTTCTAAATTTGATATAGTATATTTTACACATACATTCTTAATAGTATAGGAGAACCCGTGCAACCCAAGAATACCCTAACATACATCGACATTCGAATGATCCTTCATTGTCAATACAGCTTGCACTCGCGTTACATGGATTGGACAAACACTCGTTGATATCTTAAAACAAAATAGCAAATAAAAAATAGTTCCTAAATTCTTAATTGATGGCTTACAAAAATCCTTACTTGTACAAGACAAACCATTTCCAGAAAATCCTTTTTTACATCGACATTCAAAAGTTCCTTCATTGTCAGTACAGTTGGCATTCACGTTACATGGATTTGACAGGCACTTATTGATGACTTAAAATAAGATAAATTGAACTTTGTGCATGATTTTTTCTTTTCACTAAGAAAGACAACTTTTAGATTCAGGAATGGAAAGTTTAGCTTTTAATATATAATATTCACATGTTACCTTCTTTACGAAAATAAAGTTATCAAACATAAGTACAACGAATACACATAAGCAATAAAGACAATAACTTCATTGGTGTAGCCATCCCGATGGTTTGTTAATGCTATCTAAGTATTTAGGTATTTAGTCATTGTAAAAATAATAGATTTCTAAATACTAATAAATGTGTTAACACATTTGCAGGTTGGCTACGGATAACGCATCTTCACCTTATGGAACCGGGAACTAATCTCCTAATGTTTCACTATTATATAAAAATTTATTAGATTGTAGGCGACAAATGTTATTAATTTTCAAAAGTAATATGCTTAGCAAAGAAACCATTCATTGACTCATTGTAACATTTCCACGTTTCATTTTTTTGTGAAAGGCGAATGTCTTTCCAGAACGCAATAAGTTTAAAGCTATGTGCATGTCACGGAGATACATTTCAAGAAAAATAGAATATGTGCTCAATTAGTTTTCTGTTAGAATATCACACGAAAACTAAGGACCCTAAGGACTACGTAGCAGATATATGTGACTTGTATATGAATGAAATTTATATATGATTTTATACTCAGGCCAAGGTGTTATAAATATTAATATAAATTATTATATGACAACTGTCACTTCTGGCAAAATGGCGCGCGTTGATTTGCTCAGAAACATTTTGCTTGTCCATTACTTTCTCGTAATGGACCACGATGCAATACGCGTAATTTTACAGTCAAATGTAAACAAACTTCGTAAAGAAAACAGCAAAACGTAAAACGAAGCAGAAAACCATTTACAAATGTGAGTCGAAGGTAAAACACTCGTGAGATAGTTTAATTATCCATACGATGCAATTTGAATCAATATATTTCTTATTGACGAAAACTAGAAATGTGAAAGCAAACCCGTACAAAACAGCAAGGACGAGAAAGAAAGCAAACTTTGTTTCAGTTGAAATAATGCCATATAATAAACCTTTTAATAACCTTGCCTTTTCGGTCTTTAACTAAGAAATATTTGAAATCTGTCTTTTAGTAGAAACCTCCCCTACGGGCTCGGTCTGTACAAAAAGACTTCTAGACACTTCAACATTTCTGATTGTTAAATTAAACAATTATTTCGTATGTATGTAGCTTATCATAAGATTATTGACATTGTAATCAGCACGTTTTCTTTCTGCCTTTGCAAGTTGATTTTTGTTCCTGTCAAGAAAGAGTTGTTTTGAGAACTTTTTTACTTTCTCTTTTGTAACAGATTGCATAAAAGACAAAAAGTGTGCGACAAATATTAAGCATGCTAAAAAGAAAACTTCTACCACAACGTGTTTTCTTTGTTTCAATGATTTTTCTTTCCTAATTTGTACTATTTTCTTAATTTACATGCAGTACAAAAAAAAATTTACCTAGTGTGGCCGTTTTGCAAGTGTAGTGAACCACTAGAGATGTTTCGTTTGAGCAAGTATACGACTTTGGCAAGAATTTATCTTTCTGAATAGTAAACGCGCATTTACTCTTTCCGTTGCAATTTTCTTTCACAACACTCAACGCTGATGATGACAAACATTCTTTCTCTTTTGATGATATCTTGTATGGTACAATATACCTTCTTTTTTCTTTTATGAAAACACCATATACAGCTGATCTTACTTCGATAGTCCAGTTAGAGCATGATTGATTACATATGATGACTAAATTTTCTTTGTCGGAAAACTTTCTTTCGATTACTAATAATATATCAAATAAATAACTACAAAACACGCATATTTACTTGAGCATTATTTTGAAGCAAATTCAGAAAAGGAACAATTCACTAAAGACGAGAGCTTGATAAAGTAGCCTTCATTATCTAATGCAAAAAGTCGATTTATTTTTAAAAGAGATATTTTATCCTCTGCAATAGATTTTAAAATCTTGAAATCCTTTATTTGAAAAATGAATTTTTGTTTGTTGCAAAAGTATTTTACGTAAAGAGGCAGAGAAAATTGCACAAAAATAGTTCGCAACAAGTGAATGTCATCAACTTATGTCAATCAAATTTTGTTCACAATTTTGATATCAAGTTATCAATATTGATATATTTAGCGTTTTGAGAGTAATATCCCAGATTATCATTAAGCAGCACCTTATTTTGTTCTTACTTTTAAGCAAGACATTCGCAATTATGTTAAAAAATGGCATTAATCAACAAAAGTATGTTAAGTCACACTAAAATGAGCTGCATAACGTAGCCAATATAGCCACAGATAAAACTACATAAAGATTATTGTACAATCTTATATAAAATCTTTAATGCTCTAACACCACAGAAGAAATTCTTGATGTCAAATTTAATGAATGATACACATGCTTCATCCGTTTGCAAGATGGGCTCAATGAAATCATTAATTGTGATACCTATAAGACTAGTACAAGCTGCTTGAATTTGTGATCAATTGAGTTTCAAATTACTTTTTACGTTAACCTTATTCTTATACTTTCCAGTAGTTGTATTTTCATTAAGCTGAATTTTCTTTTCCATTTAAAACAAACATAAACTTGTTTGAAATGCCACAGGCAACTTAAATAGTTACTATTAGCAATACATATTGAATTTGGCTTAGTAAAATCATGGTATAACGCTACTGCAATGATTTTGGAAGAAACACAGTCTTTATGGATACATTTTCACAATTTCAGTAAGATGAATACTTTGCCCATTCCTCCTAATCTTAAATCAATTTGATGATGCAACTTACCATAGTTAAATTTGCAAGATTTGCTCGTGTAACAGAAATATTTATCAATGGAAATTTTTTCATTTTCTCGTGGCTGCCATTGATTATTGATTGCAAATGAGCTGCCAATGCATCCACCAGCATGATAACCACGAAATCGTAAACTTCCATTTCTATTTAGTCTTAACAACCCTAGCCACTTACAAAAGGAATATGTGTCATGATACAGCGTATGATTACTTTGGAGAAAGTAATAGGGCGGCCAATACGTTCTACTGTATCTTAAAAAGAAAAATAACGTCAGTGATATGTTGAAATTAAACATGACATTTATAATTCTAAGGAAATGTACTTCCACTAATGAAAAGACATGCAAAATTTATATTAAACCACGCATAATTATTGAAAGAGAACGAAGTCGACTGGCTTAAAACCCAATATCATTAGGGTAAACTTTCAATTATGAGCAGAGTGGAGGGCTACATTTCTTGCACGATTAGTAACCATGCTACAATCATCGCACTTGACTAATAATGATCGTTTTGATGTGGGTCTAAGAATAGAGTACATGAATGATATACCATAAGCATAATCCATGTTTCAAATAGGTAGAATTATTTTCATGTACTATTGATGATAAAATTACCCGTGATAAATTGTAAGCAAATTGGCAGTTAAATTCCTTGCTTGACGATCTTAGAAAACATAATTTACTTACTTGACTGGTGCGACACATTTTCCTGTTGCAACATGATACATTTGATAGTTATTTATCACCACGAAGAAAGCATTTCTTGATGTGCAGTCACGAGACCATACAAGATTGTCGCTTTCATTTGGCTTACTTATGCAAAGTCCGTTAGCGTGCTGGATGGGACCATAATCTAAGAAGAAAAATTGAAAAGTCTGTCATCAAATAATTTCTTAGTCCTATGACTTATATGAACTGTTTGTTTGAATAATTTGTGCTTATTTTTTAATGAAATTCAATCATACCTGCCGTTTATATTATCTGGCACAAATTTGTCTAGAATATAGTATCTATTATTGAAAAACGATAAGGTGAAATTACCTTTTTCTTTGAAATAACATGGAGGATTTCCTGTCCGGTTAAAACAACACGTTTGTGGACATTTATCTTGCTTTTTTACATTTTTTCCACATTCCAACAGTTTTCCTTTTGAAGCATCACATGATAAAGCTGTAAAAAATTTTAAAAAATGAATTCGTTCGGAGAAATGAAAAATGGCTCTAATGATCGTTTTGGTGAATGGTTTTCCGATTTGCTTCTGATATTTATAGCACAAGTTATTTCACACCGAAAATATTTTATGTGTTAGTATTTAGCTACATTGCGTGATCATTGTTAAAAATTACAATAAAATAATGTTTGCTATAAATAATAAATCTGTAAAGCTACAATATATGTTCATCCCTACTGTCTGATTCACCCAATTTAAGAACATATTTATATAATACTTCTTGTGTTTTATCGTCTCAATGTATGCATTGAGTGATTTTACTTGTGAATTTAACTTTTCAGTATTTCATGTAAAGAACGCAAATTAACGATTTTCATTTTTTGATACTGCATATTCTTAACGATAAATTTATGATTTTCTTTTATTTTCCGTCCTTTATCATGACAATTGAGATACAATAAATCTATATTGAAGCTACAAGTAAGAGTAGCATAGCGCCACCAGACAGAGATAATTTATAACAACAACATTGTTAGGAATATATAACAATAATGGCTTGTCGAAGACCTTTAAACACAATCTTTTTAATCACTTGGGACTCTTTTATAGTTATGCAAGGAGCTCTAAAATATATGAACTAATCCTAAAATAGAGATAAATTCGTCGAATTCTATAAAATGTACTTGCTTTCTTAAGTTATGTGCGTCAAGGAATAAACAAACAATCGTAAGATAAGATAAACTCAGAAAGAAATCATGGTAATGGATGAAATCTAAGGGGAAATAGTTAAAATATTTTGGTTTTAACCAACCTTTGACCAGTTGACTGAAGCCAACTAACAGCAGAATGTGAGCAAGAATATCAAATAAATGCATTGTTCACAGTCTAGAAATTTAGAACTGTTTTATGTCGGAAATCACAAAGTCGATATATCTTTGATTCTACCATGGACGATTTGACCGACAGGATATATAAAACAAAGCCCTTAAGAAGAAAACATGGCATGCACTTATGAAAATCGTGGTTTCGTAAACTTTAAGCAGAAATTGAGCTTTCGATTTTCACTTTAAGCTTTTGTATTCAAACAGTTTCGAATTGCAATATGACGGCATTCGTGGGAATTGAATGTTTGTTTCCGGTGAAGTACTGCTCTCTTCAATGGGATGTGTAATTGATGATGGTCCTTTGAAAATAAAAAAAAATTGTTGAGTACTTTTAAATTGCTATTGCAGTTTATCACAAAACTGAGCAACGTAAGGTTGAAGATGAGAGATAAAGAGTTGTACGTATATGGTTAATTTTTGCACTATATTTCTGGGAGCTCTTTACTTACAAAATAAAACATAATTCAAGAAAGGATCTTTTAAGCAAAAATGAAAGTTATAAACAGAATGATTAAAAAACTGTTATAGTTTGGTTTTATTACAAAATCATCATCAATCAAAATGACATATTTAGAAGCTGCCAGTTGGAGTTCGTTGTATATATACAAAGTAGGTGTTTTAAGAGGAAATTTATTGGCTATTTACAATTGCTAATTACTGGTCTATTCGTGGCTATGAGGTATAAGAAAAACGAGTAAGATTCTTGCTTTTAGTCCATAGTTTACTCTAGGTCTGAGAAATTTGATATGTACTGCACGCTACTATGTTTTTGGCATGTTCTGCAAGGCGGTTCTCTAAGTAACTAAGAGTTTCACCAATTTAAGATTTATTGCATACGGGGCAAGTAATTTCATTTATGACGTTAATTTTGAGTGCATGTGGACTTTGTCTTTATTCGAAGTGAAAAAGTATATTTTCGGAGTCTTATAAACTGTTATAAATCCAACCGCAATTTTAATGAGTGCTAAGTTTTCAAATGCAAGTTTGATAGAGAAATTCATGGGAATGTATAAAGATTTTGATTATCAATTTAATCTGTTTGATAGTCCTTGTCTGGACTAAAAGCAAGCAAAGATCTCACACTTTTCTCTTAACTCATTCATACATAAATAGAACAACATTTAGTACCTTTGGCAATTTGCAATTTAAGTAGCCAATACATTTCTTCGTAATTTCATTCAAAACCTACTCTGTATATATGTAAATAACTGCCATCTTGCAAATATATCATTTTGTCTGATGATGGTTTTGCAATAAAACCGAAATATTTCAGTTTTTAGTTGTCTTTTTTTCTAGCTTTAGTATAAGTGTACAAGATGTTCTACTTGTATTATGTTTTATTTTGTATTTAATGAAACTTTTGTCTGGTCAAGGATTAGGATCTTTACTTATGTTTTCATAAATATCTAAATTTAATCTTTTTCAGCAGCTATAGGGTAAGTCTTTTTTCTTTGGGAACAAACCCACAGTGAGTGTTATAACTTATGATATACTTCAAAGAAAGCAAGGGCGATGGAACATTGATAATTGGGGGCTATAGTTATATAATCATATGTTATAATCTGTAAGCACAATTGATTTCAATAAAAACTAATAAAGTAAAACATGCATATATGAATAATAGCCCCATCCACACCAATTACCAATATTCCGCCGCCTTTGTTTCAAGATTAGCTGACTCTGACAAAGAAAATTTTTAGTTAACTCTGAAAATGAAAAATTTTAGTTAACTCTGAAAATGAAAAATAGAAATATGCTAATTATGGTTTACTTGACAAGAGATGAAATCAAAATGGCGTTACGCTATTGACGCTGTTAAGACTTTTGCAATTTAAGCATTTTTTATCTAAAGCATGCAATCTGTAAATTTTCACTGTTAATTAAACATTTAACCATCAAGACATATAACTTGAAGCATTTGGAATTTAAAAATATAAGAGAACATCAGCTCTCCTTCGCACTTATTTCACTATATTTCTTCCAGCGTTTTGGGATATACACCCAAAGGCCAAAATCAATAAATATAGAAACATCAATAACGATTTTGGTAATTAAGGGCAATGTTATAATGAGGAAAATCACTTGGCCCCAAATACGGGCACTGTTGTTTTTTTTTACCGAAATTAAACGAAACGAAGGGAAAACCAGCGGATCCGGTAAAAAATCCTCAATAAAAAATCTCGAAAATTGCAAAAAATATCTTATAATATTAACTTCTTTCTAGAGTTTGGGTATTGAATTTTGTGTTTTAGTAATCATTGCGTTTTCGTGATCTTGATGATCCACTGTAACATACATTCAATTATAGACAGTTGGCACATTACAGTCGTAGAAATTTGTTTCGAGACTTGCAAAGCGCGAAAACATATAACATAAGAGCGTTGTGGGAGTGTAAATATATAAGCCACCAATGCTAATTAGAACACTAGCATTAATAAAAAACGAGAAGCAACACTAGCTAATAAGAGTCCGTTTGACAAAATAGCAAACTTATATATAACATGCATTGCATGCGCATAAATAGCTACAACATACATAAATTGAGGTCACAGAAAAAAATGAAAAACAATTTTGACGTCTGCGAGACGGCATTTCATTTGAGTTTTTTTTAAAACTTTGCTTAATTGAGACCTTTTTAATAGCTGGCTTTCACTCGTCAGTTTTTTTCGGGTATTTCCGAGAAAAAAATGTGTATTATTCGACAGCATGCGTGTTTATGAAATGAACTCTAAAATAAAAATGCTTTTTGTCGTAATAATTAATAAAATCCTGAAAAATTTTTCTCTCCAATCTTTTGATCGACACTCTCCTTTCTTCATCTTTCAAGTTGTTATCTTAGCGTGCCTTCCATCCTTTTAGACTAGCATGAAACGCATTCTATAAATAATTTACGCGATGCACCTCATCACATTGTATTACGAACAACATAAAATAAACACATATAAAGTATAGCATATACAAATGTATTACCTGATATCCATAGATTTCACCCACAGACAGACTCAAGAAACTTTCTGTCTCTTGTAATTTTGTTGATTAATTTTTTAATGCTTGTGAAGGTGTAAAGTATGCCATTAAAACATGACAAAACACTTTGAATTGTTTAAATCAAGAAATTGGGAATTATTTTCTATGTAATGTAAGTAACGAGTGAAAGCCAGCAGTAGTTATTAAACCAAGCACGTGGTCTATATAATTTTTAAAAGATCTAACAGAAAATCTTGACTTTAAATTAAATGGCATACTCTAAATATCCAAAATAGACTATTGGGATCTGCTTCACACTGATGTGATCTATTTTTTTGAGAACAACCTAAGTGTACGACTTAGCTATACCTTTTACCTACAAACCATAAAAGCTCTTTTCATTCATTCTTTTCTCGTCGGTTGTAGATATAGCTCTTGTACATATTCTCATGAAATTTGATCTACATAACGTACGTATCAACAAATCTTTTCAGTAAATTATCTGTGTTCAAAACATATAAATTTTCTTTGATACCATGTACTATCTTTAACGTTGACTACTGCCTCCGATAACTTTAAGCATATGTTTCATTTTGCTAAAATATTCGCTTAAGGAATAGGCCTTAGTAGCTTTTCTATCAAAGCATTCAACAATAAATTATGTAAAACAAAAATCGAACTGACCTGTGAGTAGATGAAGAATATTTTTATGCCAATTTCTAAATACGCTCAATTTCCATTTTCGATAACTGGTACAACTTGATTAAGAAACCGATATTTGATTTTATTAGAGCAGTGCGACAGCAGTGGCCATTTACTTGTTCGTAGGAGCAGGGGATCATTTCAATAGCCCAGTTAATTCATTATTCAAAGATTACTTACAGCAGAGTTGATCCTCCATGAATGTCTGCTGACCACCTTCACATGGGTGCTTATAACAATAGGGCCCATCATCATTGAATGCACAAACAACGGACATCCAACAAGAGTCAAAACTACAGATAAACATTCTTAGCCATGAAGCACGTACATGATACATGAGTGATGAAAAACTAGTAAGAGTAATTGAAGTGATTGGCATTGGTGTGAAGAGGTTTTTATAACTGCAGGACTCTGAAAAGTAAAAAATATGAATGCGCCTTGTATCATTCAAAATAATTTTTTCTCATTCTTAACTTATCATTACAGAATTATGGTTTGGAAAACAAACAAAGTGCAGTTGAATAGTTGATATTGGAATATTTTTACTTTATGAGTATTTAAGGGGAAAAAGTGCGTCATATTGTAGCAATATTACCAAATAAACTTTGCTTTGCCGATAAACTTCTTAACTTTTACCCAATGCAAAAGTGCAATTTGTTTTAGTTAATGCTTATTTTCCACGTGCATTTTTATGCAGCAATGCCCACATTTCATTCTGCAGAACCGCATAACCAAACTAACACATGTCAACCGGAATTATCTTAATTTTTTATCATCACTACTAAACAACTGCGGGTCTGAAGGTCTTAACAGTTTTCTCAATTGCCAATCTCGGCTACATTTAAATGTTATGTAGCCCAGAGCGATTCTATTTTTTCAGCAGTAAGTTTTCACAATCTAACATAAAGTTGTACAGAATTAACAGCATACTTCCATTGACAATATGGCTTATGTTCAAATTAAATATTCCGCAGTACGAATATTCCAAACAGGCCAGTTCAACATTTCGATGAATTTTATATCTATACTTTGTCAGTATAAATAGAAAGTTTTCGATCCTTTAATCTTCGAATGATTAAGGAACGTAGAACTGGTTATACACATTTTCATATATTGGAAAATTCTCAATTGAGATCAAGACTGTACTTTCTGAATAGCTCAAAATTATATAATCTCACAAACATCTTTTTAATATTTTTGAACAAAAAATTAATTTGTGATAAAACTCTAGTGTTTTCCTCTATTTACTGGGGTGTTAGAGTATTAATAATGACTTCGATTTCTTGATGATTATAGTATGGTTACTGTTACGTCACGCTAAGCATGTTGAAGGTCAAATACAAAAGAATATTCCACTAATGCTGTTGTGGGCACCAGACGTCGTGGGCGAGC